ACCACACAGCAACAGCGGGACACACTGGAGAGAATTCAACGCCGTGCTATACGCATCTGCCTTCGGATTCCCCTCTTTGCACCAGTTCACCACATTTCAAAACTATAGACGCGTAGGGTTTTTGAAATATTTCAAATTTGGCTGGAACTTTTTGAGAATAGTTTTCGGAATATTGCTCAGGACCGCTCCACCACTATAGTTTCTAAACGATTGGATAACAGACGCCCAATTTGGAAAAATTTATGCACAACGTGATCACAGATTTTATGTGGTATAGATGCTGGCATAACGGTTTTTGCCTAGGTACGCGTATAGTTTTGAAATGGACTGTAGAGCCACGTAAACCCGTCACAGGTCATGTGTGAACCATGAATAAGGGGAGTGGTGGCGTGGTCTGGGATGCTCTGCCGACCTTGGATAATTTAATAATAAAAGAACAACAGTCAACACGACAACAGCAACAACGCTAACGACAACACTAAAACAGTAAACAGCCGTGATATGCATATGCGCATACGTAGACCCGGGTGCTCGAATCAGAAACGATTTGACAGGTGTGAAATTTCTCATCTGTAACTCTCAATAATGTCAGAATATACTTTTGGAGAGGCGATGGAACAGGGAAGAGAGTCTGGCTTGACCCACCCAGCAGGAATTCAGAACCTGGGTGCGCTTCAACACAAGCTACAGTACGCAGTAAAATTGTCGTATTTCCTTCAGATTTTTTATTCGAAAATTGGGTGCTCGAATCAGAAACAGCGAACTGGTCAGATCATCTCCGATTCAAGCACACGGGTCTACCATCGTCTACGCTTGGTGTGGCAGTTGAGGGCAGGGAGTAGTAACTTACTACTTCATTTTTGAGACCAAGAATAGATGGTCAGTGGAGCCGCAGATTCAGCAGGTCTTTGGCAGCACCGTACAGGAGACCCAAATCAAGGACCCAGCAAAAAGTGGGTCGCGAGTATTTCAAAAAGCGCTTACCGGGCAGCGCTGAAATTTGGCATACCGTTAGCGGGCCGTATGTTGATGGTATTTGTGAAAACTAAACGAAATCGGAACAAGTTTAGGTACAATTTCAGGGTGTTTCTGTTTTGGTACCCTGTGTCTCATTCGAGCACCCGGGTCTACGTACAGACATGACTGAGCACCGGTACGGTATGCATGGCGCTCACACAACGTGCTATTAAAAATATAAATCTTAGCTGCTAAGTCATAAGTGCTACAGTATAATTATACTACAGTCAACTTCGCCAATAACGACTTCGGATATAACGACAATTCGCGAATAACGACATAATTTTCATGCCCAGAGCAAAGTACCATCCAACTGTGACACATACAATGAGACTTCGGATATAACGACACTTCGTGAATAAGGGCACTTTTCTGATGCCCCGCCGAGTGTCGTTATAAGCGAAGTTGACTGTATACATGTACCATGTGTACTGTACTACAAAAATTGTAATTACTTCACACTCACAGCATTATTGGAAAGGCTTTCTGTCTAAAGCCTTTCCATACTGGTGCTCGATGTTTTCAGTTTGGGGACACCAAAATTAGTGTACCGCTAAAGACACGTGGTCGACACGTTGTTGACACGTTGTTGACACGTTGTTGACACTTTGTTGACACGTGACCCAATTACCGGCCTACCAAGTGCCTTTGGCGACCGCTAACAGCAACTGTGGAACAGTGCAGTGCCCTTTTTTGGAGCAACGTACGAGTAGTGCCCATGGATTATGACCCCGCGACCCCAATCTACGTGGCGGTCCGTAATTCGCTACTTCATACTGACTGGCGTCCGGCATCGTCCCGAATTTGGCCACAATCTGCTCTCGGGACCCTATAGGGCTCCCTGACCTGCTCCATCTCCGCCATCGTCAATGTACTGCGCATCCACCCAGGCCAGGACTGCACTTACTTACGGGAAGGAGTATTTGCAAGATGGAACCTGGGAACTGGAAGACGACGAAGAGGAAGCGTGGGAATCCGGCGGCAATGGCTGGGATGTAAGTCCAACATTGCTGGTGCCAGAGTAGCCACTGCTTGCTTATAAGGGAATCATGTGTGTTGCCTTTTTGCCTTTTCCGACGTCCTCCTCCGACTGTACTCCCGATCCCAGGACTGAACTTACGGGAAGGAGTGCTTCCAAGATGGGAGACGAAGAAGAAGAAGCCGCTGAATCCGGCGGCAATGGCTGGGATGTAAGTCCAACATTGCTGGTGCTAGAGTTACCACTGCTTGTTTATAAGGGATTCATGTGTGTTGCCCTTTTTTTGCCTTCTCCCATGTTCTCCTCCGACTGTACTGGTGAACGCTGTCACATATGTTGCCCTTTCCAGGCAGTAGAAGGGAGGGGGGGGGGGGGGGAGGCAGCACATCCTGGCATCCAGGAATGCTAGGCCCTAGGAACTAGGCAATCTGACCTTTCCTCTTACCAGTTCTTGAACATCCTCAGTCTTGTTAGAATGAACTGTGCAACTCGGCAATCGGTGATAGCAGAGGACCAATGCCGATGGCGATGCACCTTCCTTTTTCTCTGTCACAGGCTGCGTTCTCGAGAGGAAGCGTTATTTCTGCATTCCAAGAAGGACGGCACAATGGTGAGTGGAACTTCGTTGGTGTGCAGCCTTGCTAGTTGAATTGTAAATCAACCATTCTTCCTGTCTCTGACTTCTTCAATGTCCTCCTCAGTGTCGGACTGTCCGCGTCGCATTGAACTGGTCCGATGAGGCTGCTATTGCACACACAGTGAGGGAACTCCCATACGGGAACTCGGAAGTACTGCTACAGTACAGGTAAGGTGGCCATTGCTTATGTGCGTGCGCCGTTGTCAAACTTCTAAGCCAGCTGTACTCCAACCTACATGGAGTCTGAAAGTAGTCAGCTGGCGAACTACAATTGAAGTTTAGACGTTATATGCCCCGGCTTGGTCAGCTTTTTCAGTTTCACAATGCATTGCACTCAGCACCGCTTCTCGGAGTATCTTGTCAGGATAGCTTTGGAACGCATCCTCCCCAGTGGGGGAACGGCAAATGTGCTGTTCATTTTTTAGGCTTGCTTTTATGGTATGTACAAATCCCCATTGAAAAGACATAGTGGAGACCAGAAACTGCAAATAGATGTTGGGAACCGCGAAGACCACCCTTCCTTGTCAAGTTCCCTGAGGGTGTGGAGGGGGGGGGGGAGCGGAGGAGGGACATTCCTGCACTGCTTATTAAAAGCAGGATTCACAGGAGCATTTTCAGAAATTGCTTGTACATTTGTACCAGTTGTAACCGACAAACGCATTCTCATTGAGGTTTGACTTGAGGCACGTCAGCAAGGCGCTGTTGCATCGCTGACGTCTTGTCCTGATTCTGTGAATGGTATTTTGTGCGAGTTTGCATCGCACGCAGAATCGCAGGTCGTGTCGCATTGCGCAGCACACTGCCAAATTGCTTCTGTGAATCCCACGTGAATGGGAATTCCAATGGGAATGTAATCCATTGCCAACAGGTGTATTCCCGAGCTGCGCATCATACTGCAAAATTGCTCCTGTGCATGCAAATGGATTTCATTGCTCTTCTGTAGTTTGGGAAATTCTCGATTATGATAATTCTGCGTGTGTGTGTACACCAGCCCTGAACATACATGTAGGTGACCCATTTGTGGTGTCTCATAGCCTACCTCACGACCTTATGCTTTCTTTCTGTATCACTTGTATCTTGCAGGTATATCACCCCGTGACGACCACATCGAAGTCTGAAATTGAAGTGTGAAGATGCTTCAGCAACCCCTTCATATTTTTCCATTGCTTTTATTGTGCTTCTACTGTGCATGTGTGTAACCTGTGGGGTATGCATGTGATGACAATGTATGCCGATGACACGGTCAGATTTTGTCCATGCGTGTAACGTACACCTGCATGCTATCGTTGAAAAGGATCTGCCACTTACGATCTTCGGACGATTATCAGGTCAGCTTGGTTTTGTGTGGGCTGTACCAGATGCTGTTCACTTCTCTATCTGTTGGATATGTGACTTTCTGCAAGTTTCTGGTGTATGGTGGCCACTTCTTTGCTCGTCTTTGTATGACATTACAATAATTCTGTATTCACTGCTTCCATGGTGTGGTCTGCAAACTGCAATCCTTAGGCAAATATCATCACGGTTTGCAATGTTGTGCTTTGGCTGCTAGCTTACCTACACATTGTAGTTGAATTATTTTTGTTTCACAACTGACTTCCTGAAGTATGGTGGCCACTGCTTTGCATGGCATTATACAATGTTCATCAAGAATTTCCTGTTTGGGTCGTGTGTGTGTGTGTATGTATGTGTGTGCGTGCCCATGTGTGTGTGTGCCATGTGCATGTGCGTGTTTGTCACAAGGTGTCTGTGTGCGGGGTAGCGAGGTGGGGAGGGCTGGAATGTATCAGTGTGCTACTGCAGTTGCATGGCTACGTACAGTGCATCGCGCGTGTGCTCACCATGTTTATCTTCGGAGCTGGGCTAGGGTGGGGGAGGGAACAGAAAAAGAACTGAAATTACCCATATAAAAACCGCTCTGTGAGCGGTTCTGAAAAACCTCTACTGGTGCAGCCCCGTCGTAAAAGTAAGAAATTAGAACTGGCGCATTGTCCTCCCAAATGTGAACTGATCCACCTAAATCGCGATTGACGGGACCCGAACGCACCAGTAGCACGAGGTCGGGAGGGCACAGGATCACAGCCGGCGTCGGCGCTGATCAAGTTACCATACAACACTTAGATCTACCCCGGCCCGAAGCCCACCTTTGCCGCTTTGGCTTTGGCTATGGACCAGCGTCCCCAGCTGCATCCACAGGTAGGAACCTCGTGCTACTGGTGCGTTCGGGTCCCGTCAATCGCGATTTAGGTGGATCAGTTCACATTTGGGAGGACAATGCGCCAGTTCTAATTTCTTACTTTTACGACGGGGCTGCACCAGTAGAGGTTTTTCAGAACCGCTCACAGAGCGGTTTTTATATGGGTAATTATTATTATTGTTGATGATATCTGCGAAGCGAAGACCATAATAGTCTAACTATTAGTAGACCCTAGCCTAAGTCTACGAGTCTCGTAGCAGAAGTTTTGTGAGAGTGGTCAAGGCTCTGTGATGAGCCAAGGAGAAATAAGGGTCTTGAATGGTGACCAAACTGCAACGAAGACAGAGCGAGGTTTGGCTGGCAACTCGAGCTGCACTCTAAGCGATCCCCTGGCATTCTCGCCTGTCTACGTCGACAGAGGAATAATTCTGGTGTGAAAACGGCAACTACTTTGTAGTGCTGTGAAGCAGCGACTCGAGGAAGGTGATCACTCGCGGACAACTAAAATCAATGTTGTGACATTGAACAGGTAAATAGCTTACATTAATTTTATTATATTCGTATTCCCAATGCAGTAGACAGCAAGCTGTTTCGGCCATAAAGGCCTCATCAGTACAGCTACGAGCTAAAAAAGTAGCGGGCATTGCGTGATGCAGCAGCACTAGAGCAGACTACTGAGAGTGCTCAACAAGGCCAAAGCCGAGGAGCGTAATACCCAATGCTGTAGACAGCAAGCTGTTTCGGCCATAACGGCCTCATCAGTACAGCTACGAGCTAAATAGGCCGAGCTACCAGCCATGGTGCAAAGGAGGCACCACAGACATTAAGATAGCTCGTCGTTCTAGCGCCAGAGTGCTCAAACTACAAAAAGTAGCGGGCATTGCGTGATTCATATTCAAATGTTCACTAGTGCGTCGCCACCGCGACCTAACACACACGGCAAAACCCGAGCAGCCCCAACGGGTGATCACGATTCCGGTTGCATCACGCATCACCCGCATCACGTCCCTAAATGGTTCAGCGTACGGCTTCGTGCTGTGCATGCTTTGACGATTGGAAATCGGAGCTTTCCAATCGTTCGACTGTACGCGTGGCGGTTTGCTAATGGTCTCCATTGTCTTTCATTATTCTTTTCGAGCTGGGTATGTGAACATAGTAAAAAAAAACAGTCTTCTTTTATCCGGATCCCTCACCATCCTAAAGAAAATCGCTGGATGCCGATTTACAGCATATGCCATGCATACATACGGTATGTGTGTTCGATTATCCGGTTCCCTCGCCTATCCGGATACTTTTTCGTGGAAAACGGACGTGTGCGGTTAAGTGAGGTCTGGCTGTACTGCATGTATGTGCGTACGTGTGCGTCATCAACATCGGCGTGCTCTGTAGGATGTGCAGCACACACGCACGCACGGTCGCAAACACACCTCAGACCTCAGACCTGCCCATTGCAGAAGCAATGATAGCGAACAGCTATGTTAGACATAGCAACTACAGTGCGTTTTTTTATAATAGACTCTGAAATCCTTGAGAACGTACTCAAGGCCACTTTTGAGAAAATGTCATGCGAGTTGCGTCACGAAAATCTGCGCGCGAAATTCGAAAACCAGGTGTGACTCGTGGCATTTCGCCGTTTCGTTCAGAGTGTCCTTCGAGCTCCTCGTGGCTGGAGGAATCATTTTGTTGCTGACTGCTCTCATGATCTGTGGCCCTATTTTGCTTTTTCTCGAGTGTCTTTTCGTTCGTGGCAACTTGTTCTCTCGACATGCCACATATAACAAAGCGTGAGCGGGCCATGATAGAGAATCTACATGGTGGTGTCTGTTTTACAATCTTTGCGAAGACGAGGAGAACAATGGCTGGGCATCGAATTGGTCCCAAGTATTCCATTCGTCATGCTGCTGTTGCGTGTGGCGTCAGCATTTCCACCATGAACAGATGTACCAGGGATGCTGACGGCGAAAATCAGCGTGCTGCGTTGGTCTTGTCTGTCTCCAGTGATGAAGGTGACGAGAGTGACAATCCCCAATGTAAGACTCGTGCCATAAAACCACTCAACCCTGACGGATTTGCTTTGGACTGTATGTAAAGAAGTAATTTACGGATTCTATGCTGCGAAGGAGCACCCAACACTGGACAAAGTTCCTGCCCGCTGCATAGAAAGCATCGACGATTTTCCAGACATGAGCAAAACTAGCTCTTGGAAAATGTTGCGTTCCATGGGATTCCAGTGTGGCAAGACCAGAGGTATCACACACATGATGATGGAACGGCACGGGATTGTGTCATGGCGGCATCGCTACCTGTGTCAGTGAGACATACATGTACCTGGATGAGACGTGGGTCAATGCGCGTCACACAGTTACTAGGAGGTGATCCGACAGTGGTGACAGGAGTGTATAGGCAAGCAACCAAATGAAGCACCATCAGGTAAAGGCAAGTGCTTTATTGTTCTGCATACTGGTGGACGGGACGGATTCGTGAAAAACTGCGCCGATGTGTTCGTGACTGAAGACCGACGAGGCCGACGCCAACGATGATATACGTCGTCGGCTGTCCTAGCACATCTGTTCACTGTGTAATACTGTTGTCACAAGTGCAACACAAAACACGGAATTATTGGGGCCGTTTCGACGCTCGCTGATCTTCTACTATTCGCAGATGTTGAACCAGACACAACTGTGACCTATTTGCATTGTGTGTTTGTGTGTGTGTGTGTGTGTTTGTAAAAGCGCTCATGTAGTGCTTCCTTTCAGTCTCTTTATGGGTGCTGTGTGAATTGCCCTTGTGATTTGTTGTGGTGGTTGAATTTTCACTGCATTCTTTCAGGGATCGAGGGAAGTTTCCTACATGCATGCTGGAATGTTTTGATTTATTGAGCTATTTGCAATACAGCATTTGAATTATTCAGTACAGTTTGCCACAGTAAGTCGTGAAAAGCCACGACTTACTGGTTTCCTACGAAGGTTAGGAGAACTGCAGACAGCACAACTGCACAGTCATGTACATGTACATGCATGCGCTGTACCGAAAAAGAAGAGAAAAAAAGAATCAAGATGAACTGTACTGGATTCGAACTCTGGCGGACACCATGCACGTGATGAGCTTTCCTGGCTAAAACTTTCGTTTTAAAATCAAAACCCACTGAAAACCATTTAAAACCGGATTTTCAGGCAAAACCCGGCCGAATATCTAACTTTGACAATTATTATTATTCCGATTCCCAAACTTAATTTTCTTCGATCCAAGACCCACACAAACGCAGCTGTGAAGAAAAAATTTCAAATTTGGAATGAGAACAAACTAAAAAATCAAAATCGACAAATGTCTGTTTAAAAAAAACGCACTGTAGTGCTGGGATTGCACCATTCAACAGGTTGCAAGGCAACACACACACACTCACACACATGCACTCACACACATGCACACACACACACACACACACACACACACACACACACACACACACACACACACACACACACACACACACACATACACACACACACACACACACACACACACACATACATACACACACATACATACACACACATGTACTCAAACACACACACACACACACACAGTGGCTCGCCGTGTCGCCAGACTCGCTACTCCATGCGAAATGCGCGATGATGTCATTCCATTACATCATCGTTTGAGCTGTTTTGTGTGGAGTGGCAGCACGTGTCACGGCTGGCTACATGTGAGCACAAACCAACACACGCACGCATACACAGACACCTGCCCAGTAGAGCCACTACCACAAGGTCCACGTGGGCCCTGGAGAGGCAGCAGATAGATAGAGAGAGAGAGAGAGAGAGAGAGAGAGAGAGAGAGAGAGAGAGAGAGAGAGAGAGAGAGAGAGAGAGAGAGAGAGAGAGACTCAGAGAGACTCACGCCACCTGATGGCGCTCCAGATGCGAGACTAGTCGGAACCGGCAACACACACACACACACACACACACACACACACCTGTTGACCTCTTGACACCCATCGCCAGAAGCGATGATAGTGTAAGGAAATGTGTCACTTTGGTAACATGTAATAACATCATCAACAATAGCTTATCTGTTTCACTGCACCTCGCCTATCTGCATAAATGTCTTTCTTGTCTTTCTTGTCTGGTGATGTCCTGTGCCGGTCTACTTTGATTGCAGCACATTACTTCTCTCTGATTTATTCGAAGACTGTTTGTTTCTTTCTCGTTTGCGTAGCATTGATTTGTGCATGCCTGCTTTGCACTTTTGTTTGAGCCGCGGCCGTCCAGCCGCGACGCCGCAGGCGTTGCTCTGCCGTACACATACGCAGCGTGCGCGTACATGCGTACTGGAAGACCGTTTCCGGAGCGCTTTGCGTTCTCGTGGTTTTTTGGCTTTCGTCTTCATTGTTGTTCGTCCCACTCTACAAAGTCAATGGAACGTATCTTCTAGCTCTCTATCAAGATGTTGACGTGTGGCTCAGTGTGTGCTGTGTGCGACTTCAGTGTGAAGTGTCGTTCCGTTACAAGTTGGTGCCGAAACCCGGGACGCAGAGGATGAGTTAGTTCGTAGTGAGTCTGTTCGTCGTCGTCGTCAACAACGAAGTAACTGTTACTTTGAAGTAAACAGAGCGTGGGAGCGGAGGAGGTGAAGAGCTGGTGGGAGCGGAAGACGACGCGGAGAGGAGGCAGAGAAGGTGATGGACTAGAACAGTCACTGTGGACTGGAGCCTGAGATGGCAGGAACCGCGACGGAGCGTGTGGCCGTGGCTCGCCAGAGGACAGTGGACGAGTCTGGCGTCACCGACTGTGTGTCGTCCTTGTTGTTCGTCTTGTTGTCTTGCTCGCTGTATTGTTCTCTCTCTGTTCAGTTTGTTGCTTGTTGCTGTGTTGTTTCAGTTTGGTTGTTGTCGGTCTGTTGCTCTTCTATTCGTTCTGTTGTTCTCCAGTGTTTTTGTTGTAGATTTATTTGGTGAAGCTGTGCGCATGTTATTATTTTGTTGGAGCTTCGGCTCCCGTGTTTCGGTTGGCCTTGTGTGGCGTGGCCTGGTTGTAGAGCGTCGGCTCTAGGTTTTTGTTTGGCCCTGTTTCGTGGCCCGGATATTATTTTAGAGCGTCGGCTCTAGGTTGATGGTTGGTTTTCGTTTTTCTGTTCTGCTGTGGTTCCTTTTGCTGTTGTGCATGTGGAACGTGGTGTCAGTTTATTATTTTGTGGAATGTCATCAAGGGGGCAGGTGTTGTGAAATGATGTGTTGTTTTCCTGTGTGATGGCATTCCCCAAACTGTCTCGTCTAGTCGCGTGCATGTGTGATATGAGCATGCGCGATTTTGTAGTCGAGAGTCCTTTTGTCAGTCTTCTTGTTCGTCTCTGTCAGAGTAGTTTGCTTTTCCGTCTTGTCAATATAAATAATGTAATACAAACCAGTCTTGTCCTTCGTGTCCTGTGTCCCGGGGAACGGAATGGCTGAGATTCCGTTACAATAGCAATGGTACAGCAGAAGCCATAGCAACTTGTACTGGGATTGCACCATTCAACAGCTTGCCGGGCTGAAGAATTGACCGCCACTATTCAGCCTGGTCTACACCACACAGCTATGAAGTGGCTTTTTGTTGTGCCCAGCCAATCCCTACTTTTTGATCTTTTTTTCATTTTCCCCCCGCAAACACATGCCACCACATACTCCGGCATGCACTGGCTGTTGGTAACCACCCAGGAGAATGAAAGAAAATCTGTATGCGTACACTGGTGACCTGGTCACTGTCCCTGCTGGCTACAACTTTCACACTAAGGGTCAAGTCACAGGTTCAATGGTTCAACTCGAGTGACAGGAACGCGCCCACATAGGCTGTAAGTTGTGGCCTGGGGGGCACGGTGACCAGGCGACTATTGTACGCATGAGCACGTGACCGCTTACTCAACCGTGTTCGATTGGGAATAAGGGCCGAATGCTGCATCGCAGCCTTCTCGGACCAAAACCAGTTGACTCAGCGTCCTAAAGACTACAACATTATCGTCCAATCGTGTTCATCCGTGCTTTTATAAGAACGAAATGGCACTTTTAGTGACATTTGGCATGCAAACCCCCAAGGCCAATTGAGCCATCTTTCCAAGATTCTGTCTGAATACTAATCTTTCTCCCTGTTCCTGAGGAGACTCCCCCCCCCCCCCCCCCCCCACACACACTTAGCCAACGTCCAGCTATGAGTAGCCCCAGCAATGTACAGTATGATTGTGTGCGTGCATGCATGCGTATGCGTGTGTGTACATGTATGTATATGTGTGTGTGCTTGCTTTCACTTGTGTGTGTGTGTGTGTGTGTGCGCGCGCGCGCTTGCCATGCGTGTGTGTGTGTGTGTGTGTGCGTGTGTGTGTGTGTGTGCGTGCGTGTGTCCGTGCGTGTGCGTGCGTGTGTCCGTGCGTGCATGTGTGTGTGCTTGCATGCATGTTGTGTGTGTTGATGCAAATCCATGTACCAGAGAAAAAACCCAGTTGATGAAGGAGTAGCCTGACCGCTGACGTACCATGACAACCCTGCTGAGGACGTGTCGCTTGTCGGGACCGGCGCAGACGATCACCTCTACACCGACACCATGTGGTAACGCAGTGCTCGGTCTCTTCATGCAGCGGTGTTATTCTCCTCTAGCGTACACTACATCACCTAGGAGAGCGGCGGCAGGCGGATGCTCAGCCATTCTGCCAAGCTGTATGCAGAACATTACAACACAGGGACACCTGGCACGGATGCACATCCCTGGCACGGCACTAGCGATTCGATCCGTATCCGCGTTAGCACGGCAACGGTGCACTCGGGCGGACTCGCCGCGATGTCAGACCTCGTACCCTGGCAGCTCCGCGTCCACGTCTGGCGCTAGCCATGCCGTCTTCCGTCGCTTTTCCTCGTCCTGGCCACTTTCGGATCTGCCGCCGGAGCTTGCCACAAAGTGGCGCCACCTGTGGCTCAAGATGGTCGGCGCGGCGATAGTCGTTGTGCTTGCCAGTGTGTTGTCGGGGCCGATATTGGCGGACTTGTGGAGTGATATGTCGAAGACGAATGTGCCGAACCAGAACGAAGTACCCATGCCAGCAAGGTGAGGCTTACCCGTACCCATATTCTAAACACCCATCGCCCGGACTATCCTGGCATGGGCAACTGCACGTACAAGCACTGAGAACGCTTTCACCGAAAAGCAGTTGCAATGTTCTCACTCCTGTTCGTGGCATGTTCCCTTCATCTGTTTGTAGATCGGTAGCCATGCTAGGTCAAGTCCGACTCAAAGTGGCGCCCTGAATTTGGAAGTTGTGCAAATGCTCCTGGGCGAGCACGCGCACAAATGGCCCATACTTCACGGAAGGCATAGAAGCGTTGGCAGTAACAACATTGTTTGGGTCCGATTATCGCTATTGATGAAGAGTATTATACCCCCCCCCGATCCGAGACACGCAATCATTTGGGACCGTATGCATGGCTTACATTAGAGTGGTAGGGGGACGACGTAAAGAGGTGAGTTTTGAATTCCGTAAACATACAGGGTTCTTGTAGGCAAGGGGAGTAGGGGGGGGGGGGGGGGGGGCACTCTGATAGCACACCCCCATTCTTATTATTGTGTTTTTTTGTTTGTTCACACAGCGAAAATTCGGCCACAAATCGATCGTTCCGGCATCCGCCCGGAACCCTGACATTTAAAAAAGTAGAAATGTGCTCTTTTCACATTTGCAGACCCTCCCTTGTAGGCAACCTTCCGCCACACTTTGCTGACCAGAACACGGTGGCCGTTCATGGTTACTACAATTATAGTACTAAGTTACGGGTTTGTCTGTTTGTAGCAAGAAGGACCCACGGGTGTGTGTGATCCCCAATGGGGGGGGGGGGGGGTATTAGTAGCCTAATCGGTAGGGCACTGTCCCGGAAAGACAGGGGTGCTGGGTTCGAATCCCGCTTGTGGATCCTTCTATTGCAACATGTTCTTATGCCATCGTTTGCCTCCACTTCAGCTTGGAGTTACTGACCGGCAAGGAACTGGCACGGTTCACTGGGCGCTTTGTCCGGGGCGAGACTGTACTCGTCGGTCCCGTCTTGTTCAAGACTCTCCTTGCGGCCGATCAGAGCGGCTTCATGAGCCAGGTCGTCAACCCGTTCACACACGTGTCCGGCTACCAGGTACTGCAACACATGTAAATATACCGGTAACGAGGAAGTAAATTATGCCTCATACTGTAAAGTCAGAAATTTTCGGTGGTGTTTTATTTTCAGTAACTTCAGTGCCGAAATTTTTACTGAAAATTTCGGTACTATAATGTAGTACTTCACTTACCTGGAAAGTGGGTTTACCGAAAGTTTCCCTCCATCGAACCGCCGGTTTTGGAGAATGCCGAAAATATTACATCACCGAAAATTTCTGCTTTTCTAGTATGTGCAGTACCTGGAGCGTCACACACGGTCATGGTCGCATGGTCGTACCACTTTTCATCCATTATGGTCCGCCCAATTCATCTATTAAAAAACCCAAAAAAGAGCGCTAAAACGTGCCCTATTGCTGTTGGCCGAAAAATCCGATTTTTTCCCGGGGGGGGGGGGGGGGGCAACCTCCGGTCGTACCAGTCCCCACTGCCTTGTGGCGCCCCTGCGTTATGTTTGCAATTTGCGACTTATAGTACTAATACGGACAAGTGCTCTGCCGTCTGTGATGATAATGTAGTAATGTTGAACTTCTCTGTCTCGTAGTACACATGCTCTACATTACAGCATTGGGTATTATGCTCCGCGGCTTTCGTCTTGTTGAGCATTCTCGGTAGGCTGCTCTAGTGCTGCTGCATTACGCATTGCCCGCTACTTTTCGTAGTTGGAGCACTCAGCGAAACGTTTCAAATTTCACCTCAATCTTGCTGAGTGCTGCTGGTGCCTTGCTTTCTGTCACAGGTGGTTGTGCCGTTCTACTGCAACGAGACAAAGTCCAAGGTACTCGTCAACATAGGTTGGCTGGCCGGAGTAAGCCTGCAGCGCTACCTACGCTACCACCACGGCGAAATGGTGAGTTTTATTACGGGGGGGGGGGGGGGGGGGGGGGGCATCTGTGGCATCGTTCCGAGCTGGTATGCAAAATGAGTGTACAGTCAACTTTGCGTACAACGACACTCGGCGGGGCATCCGAAAAGTGTCCTTATTCGCGAAGCGTCCTGATACCCTATACGTGTTACAGTTTGATGGGACTTTGCTCTGGGCATGGAAATTCTGTCGTTATTCACGAATTGTCGTTACATCCGCAGTCGTTATAAGCGAAGTTGACTGTACAAGGTTAGAATAGCATTCCGATGCTCTGTAAGTTTTGTGAAAAGTTGTTGCACTTTCTGACTGTATAACGCGTAGTGACGTGCATAAGAGCGCATGTGCAGAATTAGATCAGGCTATCGTTGCTATAAAGAGAAGATCTGTGGGTGCTCATCCAATGCGTTTGCAGGTTTGCGGGCTTCTCTTGCGACGGGCGTATAGTATACATGGCGTGTGCTTGCCCCCGCGCGCGCGCACGCGCGTGTGTGTCTGTGTGTGTGTGTGCGTGTGGCATGTGTGTGCGCGTGGCATGTGTTTGCGCACACACGTGTCGTGAGCATCTCTATCCCGTGGTGGTACACGTGCACATGCGTATGTACATGTCTCACATACCTGTGTCTATAGTTCCTTTACATATGCCGTTGGTCATCATTATTATTTTCCGTATTTTCGCCAATACTGGCTACGGCGCTTACAGTCCATTCATAAAAAAAGATGAGCGCTGGCTCTGTCAAGCTCCCGTATTTGGCGATTTTTAGTGGTTTTATCGTACACAGTGCAGTGCCGCGAAATTTGAGGTTAGAAAAAGGGTCCGAAAAAGGTACCTCAGCTGGGGTTAGAACTGGACAATGCAGTGATGCAAGTGGAGTGAAACGGATTGGATTTCCATGGCCTTTCCCAATTCAGTGCTTACAAGACAAAACCTGGCCGAAATCCTATTCTTGTTATGGCTTGCTTTTCGGAGAAATGGACTTCAGAAACATAATTAAAGAGCGTTACATGCGGGATTGCAGAACAAAATTGTGAAAAAACTTAAAATTTGACCCAATTATGGCCAAAAACTAGGATATCATTTTTTCTGAATGGATTGTAGTAGCTTGCGAGCCCTAGAATTTCACCTAATTTGAACAAATCCATGCAAATGATGTGGCGCTTATCTCAGAAAGGCGGTATTGAAAGACCGGCGCTAATGTCCGAAAATACGGCATTTGTTTATTGTGCACCAGGTGGAGAAGCAACAGGAGAAAGGCTTCACTATGCTGGGCATGCGTATGGCGATGAAAAGCGACAAGCTGCAGTGCTGGGATGGCCGGGAGCACACCGTCACTGACCTGGCAGCGGAGTGCAAGACCGAGCCGTTCGTCATGGAGATCATTCGCGGTGAGAGATCCGTCACCGTTCTGCTGGTGCGACACCCCTGTGTCACACTGCTGTATTTTCCGGAGTAAAAGCCGCACTCTAAGCACTTAATTCACACTTAAAAAAAGTCAGTGCGCCTATACTGCGATGGTCAAATGAACGGTGATATTAGAGAGGTTCTGCAAAACGAAAATGCGTACAAACTTTCACTCTACGTCATGAAGTGCGAAACTTTGCACGAACTTTCGCAACTTTGGACGCGAAACTTGCACGGAACGTGAAATGAACTTTCGTAGGAAATTTCGTGAGATCGGGTCATGGCGTACGTGCACTTGGCCCATGCGAACTACGAAAATGTGCAGAACGCAAAGTTCGTGCGAAAATTCGCACACACTTTCGCGAAACTTCGTTCGCATTTTCGTTTTGCAGAACCTCTCTATTATAGGTTTGATGTCTGTATTTCGTGACAAGAAAATCTAGGTGCGGCTTATACTCCAGTGCGGCTTATACTCCAGTGCGGCTTATACTCCAGTGCGGCGGCTTATACTCCAGTGCGGCGGCTTATACTCCAGTGCGGCGGCTTATACTCCAGTGCGGCGGCTTATACTCCAGTGCGGCGGCTTATACTCCAGTGCGGCGGCTTATACTCCAGTGCGGCGGCTTATACTCCAGTGCGGCGGCTTATACTCCAGTGCGGCGGCTTACACTCCAGTGCGGCGGCTTACACTCCAGTGCGGCGGCTTACACTCCAGTGCGGCGGCTTACACTCCAGTGCGGCGGCTTACACTCCAGTGCGGCGGCTTACACTCCATTGCGGCGGCTTACACTCCAGTGCGGCTTACACTCCAGTGCGGCTTACACTCCAGTGCGGCTTACACTCCAGTGCGGCGGCTTACACTCCAGTGCGGAGGCTTACACTCCAGTGCGGCGGCTTACACTCCAGTGCGGCTTACACTCCAGTGCGGCTTACACTCCAGTGCGGCGGCTTACACTCCAGTGCGGCGGCTTACACTCCAGTGCGGAGGCTTACACTCCAGTGCGGAGGCTTACACTCCAGTGCGGCTTACACTCCAGTGCGGCTTACACTCCGGAAAGTACAGTACATGTTTATGTGGTGCTGAGTCTCCCTGCAGCTACTAGCAAACGGTCATGAGTTGTGACGTTGTACAAATGCACCAACACAGTAATCCTTATACACCAGGGGCGTCGGACACGTCACTACGGTATTGACCGTACCTCTAGTTGCCCCAAGTACCCAGTGATTCGATAAAATGCACTGATTTGGGCTCTAAATCTCCACCCCTCCCCCACGAGTAAACTGTACTTCAGATGGCTGACCGTACCACACTGAAATACCTTCCGACGCCCCTGCACACTCGTATCTCTCTTATCCGGGCGGTCCAGGACCAGGCACTGCCCATAACTTCAAAACATCCGAAACTCTGAATCAGATACTCAACGAAGAAGGGCCAAGCATCGGGCACAAGAGTAGTAATATTACCACTAAAACTCGCCCGCAGGGTACCCGGCAGACCGAGATGCACGTAACTTGGGAGGTCCCCGCATATTAGAGATACGAGTGTTGGCAGGCAGACACACAAAGCATGCTGTATCCGTAAAACAGACGCGTGTGGATAAATGGAACCACAATGTGTACAGTGGTGTTTTCGATTTGAAAAGGCGGGTAAAATGTTTCGCTTTGTGCCGATCAGCGGTAAGCATTGCAGCGGTTGGTGCGTCAACTGTCGTACGGATTGTACAGTGTTTTACAACATGCCCCCAGAGAGGCTCTTTCGTGCCATGCCATCAGCACTACATCGAATGTGTACAAGGCCTATGACGTGTGTCCGGGTCTGTCATGTGATACGGAGCTCTGTGTGTGTGTGTGTGTGTGTGTGTGTGTGTGTGTGTGTGTGTGTCTCTCTCTCTCTCTCTCTCTCTCTCTCTCTGTCTCTCTCCTGCCTCTTTGTATCTGTCCGTTTGTCTGTTTTGAAGTGTTTTCTCATTCTCTCTTTGCTTTCGTCCTGCTTTTTCAGGTCCGTTTCTGGATTACGACCATCCACGTGCTGGCGCCCTTGTAACGACCAGCTATCTATCGTGGCGCAAGATCAAGAACATGTTTGGTTATGACCAGCCGCGCACCATTCAGGACTGCATCGAACCGGAAGGAACCATCAACATCATGTACACTTCACTTCTGTAAGCAACACTCTACGATAAGACAATTGCGCTCAGTGAAATCCAACCCAGAGCGCATATTTAGCGCCCTCGGCTTGCACGGCCCTTGACGCCCTTGAAGTGGTACGAATGCGGCTGGACGTACACATGTACAAAATACAGTTATGTAATCGGAACTGCTCCAGGGCGCCAGCTTTGTAGTTTTGGTGGGATTTCCGTGAGCGCAACTGTGGTAGCACAGTTTGTACTGTAGTGGCATACTCAAGAGTGTGCCAGTGTGTGTGTGTGTGTGTTGGGAGGGGGGGGGGGGGGGGGGGGGCTGGTACTTGAGCTGGATGCTCCAGCACTACCTGAAATTCCCAATGTGGGTTCACCCAGTGTACACCAACCAGCCACTAGATGATGCAGCTTCAGGAGAATGAGCTCGTCGCTGGATCAAACGAGGATTCGTCCACCACAGGTCCAGGATGCGTCTCATCATACGTGTACATGTACATGTGCACCCAGCATTGAATCATTTAAAAAAAAAAGTGATGTCGACTTGAAGAAGTCCTGCCGGGGCAGCACTACAACATTACTTCTCCATCACTGCATCAGCTCAACCGCCACCACTGGACTGCCTTTTTACTCTCTTTTTATTGACGAATAAACAAGAACACGGAAAACGACTACATCTTGACAAGACGACAGACCAAAGACTAGCTCACACAGTTTCGCGCATGCGCACAACACCACCAACCAATGACGCGTGTCCACAGCGACCAAGACGAAACAAACACGTGACACCAAATCTACCACAGATAATAGCGAGGTTCTGCCACACAGTAAAATGTACCAAAGTACGTATGGAAACCTCGCCGCGGTACGGGATCAAGTTTCACACGGATTTTTTCATACCGTTTTCCGTGTGAAGCGCGCTTCACAACTTGTCTCCGTGTGAAAACTGAGCGGACAGAATACATATGTGGCGGGGAGTTCGAGCATGCTAGATGTTACGAGCATCCTACGCACAGCAGGACCGGCACAACGTACGTAAAATCCGTGTCAAACTTCACGGCAGTTGACACGGAGCCTTTTTGGTAACTATAGTTGCGTGTAGCAGAAACTCACTAGTGAAGTTGCACACTCTCGGGAGTTCTGTACTTTTGCCTGTACATGTATGCAGTGATGTTATCTCCAGTCACGTGGCCTTTGCAGTTTTATAGGAGAGAAGTGATATGGACGGGCACAGCAATTTCAGCACAGCAGATAGAGGCGGAGATAAAGGCGCCTTGATAAAGAATTAAAGATAACACTTTCCTAAGGCCACACCGTTTTTTTCTATGTTTCGCGTCCCCTGCGCGCATGTATTTCACAGCCGGAGTTTTAAAAAAAAACGGAACAATTTTTTTTTGAAAATGCAATACAAATTTAATGCAAACCCAGAAAACCGGAAAATGTAACTCAGCTCACATGTGCATGCAATAAGCTGGGCCGCAAGTCACACAATCATCATGCCGTCTGTGTTTGGACCACAAGCATGGCAGAGGGGATAATACACTCATTATGTACTATTATGTCAATGTACATGTACATCAACAGTGCTGCGTCGCTTCACTGTACACAAATGCAATGCACGTACACTGTTTTTTTGGATGGCTTTTTTATTTTTTTCGCCCTCCCTCATTGATTTCATCGAATAAAGGTGACGCGAAACATAGAAAAAAACGGCGTGGCCTAAGGGTGTGCAGACTCCACTGTAGCCACAGTTCATGCTTCACACAGTTTAATATACACCGCTGTCTACTCAAAAACTGTTTCTCTTCCTGAAGATGGGCTTGGCCCGAAAATTATATATTATAATTAATTAACTCGGATGGAGGTCAGGTTGTTGAAGGTCAGTATCAGATCAGTCAGTTTTGTGCCAATTGTTGCACATTTTGCCTCAACAGTATCCTGCTTATAATCGTTAGCATTGGACAAAACGGATAACTTGTAAACTTATGGTCCTCTCTTTTTTAATTTTATTTAATTAAGGTGGCTGGGGCGGTACAACTTTCTCGGGGAAATTTTGACTGCATTTTAAGTTTATCGGCAAGGCGGAGATGAAATTTGAAAATGGTTTTATGGAAAAATAGCACGGACCTTTAATGATTTAACGTTTTCAAATTTTGTCCAAAAGTAAAAATAAAACTATAGGAGGCTAGAGAAGGCTCTTCTCCAGAAATTCACCGAAAAACATTTTCGAATTTCATTTCCACCTTGCCGATACCCTCAAAAATGCAGTCAAAATGTAGTCAAAATTACCCCTAAAAAGTTGTACCGCCCCAGCCACCTCAAATTATCTTTATGGTAAAAAAGGAGACGGACAAAATGTTACGAGTTATGATTAATTATTTTTGGAAGAATTTGTCGCCGAGAGACCGTTTTTGGGTAGCGGTGTATAGGGCCACACCAAGTTAATTCTATGTTTCGCGATGGATATTTTCTGGAAAAGGCACGCGGGCGGGCGGAAAAAAACAAAAACAGAAGAAAAAACAAAACTCCATTCTATGTGTACTGAGCCATGTTGCACACAGAATACCACTACTAAACTGTCATTTCTATCCAAAACGACGAGTCGTCACAGGACAGCTAGCAGACTGGGCTGGACCGATACTGCATACAGAGATTTCATGGATGGCTCCTTCTGCATTTTGACATGAGTCGAGTGGGATCCCGCTCCATCACAATCGTGGAAAATCTCGAAGTCCTTGACACCTGGAATCTCTGCTCGCTTGGTGAGCAGGCCCTAGGCCTACCGCACGGCTTGGAAAAATAGAAATGTTCATCTCTCGCACCTTCTACGTACCATCGCCTGGAATGCAAGATTATCGAGAAGCTGATAACCTCTGATCTGCCATACTGGCTAGAGAATGTTCACCAGAACAGCCATCGATTCGCTCGTATAGGTTCTTTTTTTTCTTCTTGTCAAGGATTCGAAAAGGTACGCGGGCGGGTGACGCGAAACATAGAAATAACTTGGTGTGGCCTAACGGTGTGAAACTTGATAAAGAAAAGGGAAGATAGGGCGCCTTGTGCTGGTCCTGTATGAAGGGATGTTTTTCCAGTCACAAGACCTTTGCAATGACTTGTTGTAGTTCCTTGAGCGGGGTCAGTTTAGACTAGGTTTCAATGTACTGTAGTTTTGACACGATGTGTCACGGAATTTGTAAATTTGCATCATGGTATTCCCTACTGGGACTGATAGTGTGTGTGAGTGAGTGTGTGTGTGTGTGTGTGTGTGTGTGTGTGTGTGTGATTGTGTGAGTGAGTGTGTGTGTGTGTGTGTGTGTGTGTGTGATTGTGTGAGTGAGTGTGTGTGAATGTGTGTGAATGTGTGTGTGTGTGTGTGTGTGTGTGTGTGTGTGTGTGTGTGTGGTGTGCATGTATGTGTGTATGATTGTACAACTTGTCATGCCTATGTACACACATGTGTCCGTGTCCCTGTCTTTCTCTCTCTCTCCACCTCGATCAGACCGCAACTCATGGCTGCCTTCACTGCCGTCGCACTTGCGCTGTACGTCAGGCGTGGCTTCAAGAATGCCGGCACGTTCTACCGGCAGTACCTGCAGTTGAAAGCTGAAACGGCGCTGAGCAAACCCAAGAGGAAAGCCTCCAGTCGACAGCAGCTGAAGGGCTAGACTGTACCGTACAGCATGACATCATTATTACATCATGGATGTGACCAGATACCAGACGCCTACATGCATGATGATGCTGCATGGAGCACGTGCGTGCATACGTATCCGGATGACATCATCATTACATCATGGATGTGATCAGATACCAAGCTTACATGCATGCTGCATGGAGCCAGGACTCCCCAAGAGCAGGTGCATATGTATCCGAATGACATCATCGTTACATCATGGATGCGATCAGATACCAGGCTTGCAAGCCGGCTGTGCGGAGGAGCATGTGCAAATGTGTCTGACCTGAACGTCCTGTATTGTGCAGTCAGTTTGTGCGTGGCCCACATGATCTCAGACATGATGTCCCCAGCGGCAGAGGACGGCATTTCCAGCTTGCGCAGGATTGGGCCCGCATGACTTCAGACTTGATGGCGTCAGAGGCAGAGGACGACATCTCCAGCTTGCGCAGGATTTTCGAACACAGCCGCATTCCCAGCCCTGGCACCGGTAGCCTGAAACCCTGTGGACACAGAGTCAGCCATTCGACGTGCCATACCTGGTACAGAGAAGACGGTTTATCAGATACCAGACTCACTCAGCAGTTTGCAGTCCAGACCGTGGGTTTTGAGTTTAGCGGTACGGCAATCCGCTTTGCTTTTCGGCCACACACCTCATCCGCAAATTGGGAGAGCTTCTGATGCTCGCCCCGAGAATATTTTCTTAGATATTGAAATTTCCACCTGTCAATGCTGCTACTGTGCACAGTACGTTGTTTCCGTTGGACCGGGTCATTGGTATTTAAAAATTGTTTGGTTGACGGCATGTTACAAGGCGGACGACGCACCGTGTTCGGAAACAGTGCTCCTGACTACAACCATCCACGGTTGGCAGAGCCCCGGTCCTGCGATCATTTGAACCGTATGGCCCTATGGGTGTTACTGTATAAGCAGAAATATTCGTCTGGAATTTATTTTCGTCTTTTTCGTCCAAGGGACGTTTGGACTAAATTAAATGCTGGACTATTGTCGATTTGCCCAGCTTTTCTATACACTCTTATGATCCATGGACGAAATTTTCAACCGGACGAACTCCCTTTCTTTGGAGTTTGACGAAATTATTGACCGACGAAATTTTCTGCCTCTGCAGTATCCCTGGTTCTGATCTAATACCGTATTTAAATCTTGTTGCCGATGAACCTGTGAAAAGGCAACGGTAGTGATGTGATTGCGTGATTTTATTTTTCATGCTGTGAAGTTCCGGTTGGATATTTATGACGTCATAGGCAATACACTGTTATATCGAAGCCTGACGCTCCGATGAGCAAATTTGTATCCACAAAGACACTCCCTCCCCGTGTCTGCCATGTTGGATTACTTTCATGGCCTGCTGCACGGGACTCTGGGCTGCGTATCTGCGATGATTTGAAGTAGCCCCGGACAATCGGAATCCTTCATTACTTTCACGGCCCGTGACGTCTCGCCGGCTATCATGATTACACGAACGCAAGTGATGGAGAAAGTCTAGTCTACACTGTAGAAACTGTGTTGATGGAATTTGACGACACATCAGTCTTGAAGAACTCATTGGCTTTAGCCTCTTTTCGAATTTTCGAATGGCAGTAGCAGGCATCGTGGTGGCCCCACACAAGCGAAACGTCCTTAAAGATGGTTGTGTTTCTCAACACTCACAGTCGCGGCATAGCCCGTGGTAATGCGGCCGGCATGTGAGCTAACTTTACTACGAAGAGTACACGGCCATTCTGCCCTGGGCTGCGGGATCGTCGATTTGCACACTCTTGGTTATGTACTCTTGCTAGTATGGAGATTTAATAGCTGTCAAAATCACGGACAAATATACTGTAATTTCACAAATTTTCGGTATTTTCGGTGCATCGGTTTCATACCTAAACTTTCAGTAAACCGAACAAACACCAGCACACATAATCCAATACTGGCAATAGGGAGCTGCTTCTCTGTACCTAAAATTTCTGGTCACCGAACCTGGCCTTTTGCCCTCATCCCGAAAATATTGAGCACCCAAAATTTCAGAAATTGGAGTTATCGCGATCCCTCTCCCCCCCCCCCCCCCCCCCCCCCCCAGGACAGGTATGAGGAGGGGTGCTCAGCTCAGATACAATAGGGCTTGAAAACCAGCCCGGAGTCCCTGGTCATGACAACGCAAGATTTTTTGGAGCCACTTGCATCCAGTGTTTGTATGGACACGTACACGGTACACGTAACAGTTGTTTGGTCGGTTCCTTCACAGCAGCAGCGCAACGCATCTGCCGGCATACGCGATACGTGTAGTTACTGGACTGGGCCTGTGAACTCTTGCCTGTAGTTTGTGAGCAAAATTAATACCAAACTCAATTTCGACTGACTTCTGACGTCATCCCTTTCAATCCCTAAACAAATCATTGAAATCAATGATCCCATGCCATGGCATGGATCCGACCAAGGATCATCATCGTGAGAAGTGGATCCCAACCAAACGATAATGCCATTTATAATGGACCAACGTTATACAATCGTATCAAGAGTATAAGCCCCCTTATACTCTTGATTGTATGTGTAGATCCTTACCTCCAGCCATCCACATAATTCTCAAATTCAAAACTACTTTTTCACCAGAGGTTTTGTGGAGCCATGTTCCAGCTGTTTGATCTGACGCAGGTTTCCCAACGAGGCAGGTCTCGTAAGAACAATATTATACATAATATCTCCCAGTAACTTTCCGTGGGAGCAAGCCAATCGTATGTCTGACGATTTGATGGCCTATGATAGGCTATGTTTCATGCTACAACAATGACAGGTACAAGATTGAAAAATGCTTGAATCACTATGCACCGACTTCATAGTCAAAATACCGATCATACCGGGTATGATTTTTTTTGCTCCAATGATTTACGAATCGCATGCGCGTGATCGTGATGCGACATGTTCTCCATTTTTGCATTTCCCGCGAAAAGTGAAAATGAGAACTCACAGTAAACTGGTCAATAATGAAGAAAACTAGAGGGACACCTTCTAAAGTTTACGGTAAATTCGTATTAGACTAGACTTATAGATGAAACGCCTAGGTACTTCAGTGTTGCGCGATTTACAAAATGTCTGATGCGTAGGCTGTTGCATGCTTGAGCTCTGCTTCTCTTGCCGAACCGATTTGGTGCCGCTTATCCACGGGCTCCTATTTTTTGATGAAGCTCGAAGGTCGTCTTTTCAGTTTGTTCCTTGTACTTCTACCAGTAATTGCATCCCTTTATCCTTGCTCAACTTCTGCCGATATAGAGGTAAGGGAATTTCTTCGTTGAGCCGATGATACCCGAAACTCTTGGTGGATGTAGCTGTTGTTGGCGGACTTAGTCCGTTTTTTTGCGCTTGCGCGAGGCCATTGTTCCCAAATCCTACTCGAACGCAGTTGTGCAGCGTTTTGATGGCTGTTTGATACCCTGGTGGTCTTCACTGTAGGTTGTTCTGCAACCGCCAGGCGCTGTTGGATGCGAGGAGAAGCTTTGGAGAACTTCCTTGGGCTCCTTTGATTTCCCAATTCTTTAATGCCAGTGATTTGGGAATGGCTGACCGAGGATCGACTCGTAGGACTTCTTCACAACCTAAATATTCGTCATTGAACGCAAATGCCATTTACAAACCTGCCCAAGCACAACAACAGAAACCATCTGGAATCAGTGAGTGCTCGCTACCGTCGGAGTTGTTGTGGTTGTCGATATCTTTGTCGACATGGACAAGTATTTTGAGTGTCTTTGGGTTGTTGCGTGTGTGTGTGTTGTGTATATCCGCTGTGCATGCATATTTTCTTGCCGTCTCAGACCGACATGGACTTCAAAGTCTTGGAAAAGTACCCCTTAGACCTCCGAAGCCTGTTGCTATTCCGAGTCTAAGAAAAGAGCACCAGGGACATGATCCTACTGTCAGTCTTGTCCCTAGTGGTGGTGGTGGATGGGGTACGGCGAATCAAACCAAAGATAAAACTTCGTCGACTTCAAGCGCCGAACGAGTAAACCCTGAGCCGTCGCCAAGCTCAACGCCGTCCACCACACAGACTGTGAGCCAGGCTGGTGGAGATCCACCTACGAAGAGAAATTGGGCATCGGTATCGAGCCCTGAGCCGCCCGCTCCCTCCAGAGGTGAGCAACGTTTTGGGTATTTCAGTTTTTGCGACATCTCTTTTGGCTGCTTTGCATTTGTTATAAGGGAAATGTTCTAATAATTATTGTGTTAATATGCATGTATGCGTGCGTGCGTCCTCTCCTGTTCTGTAGGTCCAGCAGCACTCGGTCAGCAAACCTTCCAGCGTGAATTTCCAAGCCTTGGCAATGACAATAGACCAAGAACCCAATCCGCGGACAGAAACGATGCTTGTAAGTCGAGGTCGTTTTCGTTCATTTTCTTGCATGATCATTTCCTGAATCAATTTTTGCTAGAGAATGTGTCCGTGAACATTTTGTTGTGGGAACATGCATTAAATTGTATAGATGAGCAACATGTTCACCCTGGAGTCGAAACCGGTGGATAGCTCCGTGTGGCATGCGCCATGAATTTATTGTTCCATTCAATTTTTTTGATTTGATTGTAAAAATTAGAATCGAGAGATCTTGATTCCGTAAAAAAATTCTGTACATACATGTATGAGCTGATTAAATGGATTACTGCTTCCCTGTTCATGTTTTGTGGTTGTAAGGCCTGGCTAGTTTTGCAGTGCAGGTTCTACTCGTTGTTGTCATGAGCATTGCAATTGTTAGACTTGTGAGTGTAAATTATTTATATTTTTTGAAGTCCGAAGAATATGTTGAACGCTCTCTGCTGGGATGACTGCTACACCATAGCTCAGTGGTTGGAGCATCGCTGGCTACAACTTACAAGTGAGGGTCCCTGGTTCGAGTCCTGGTGGTGACAGTAAACTTTTTCTTCAGACTTTTCCTGTTTGCATCTTTCCCTCCAACCAGTAAATATTTTTGAGTGCAAGACGTTTAAGTGGGTGATTTGTTTGTGTCGTTCGTGCTCTGATCCTCTATGTAACATAGTTGTGGAGGGATACCGGGCTTCCTTTCGCCCTGGAGATCGCCCTAGTCCAGGTTCTGGGGCTGCTAGTCCACGCGGAGGAGGAGGCTCACGGCCTGCACCAGCTGGACGTGGGGTACGTAATCCATTCAAATAGATTATGTCACTACAGTCAAACCTCGTTAGGACGAACTTCAAGGGACTGAACACATTTGTTTGTCTTATCGGGAGTTCTTCTTGTCCAGATTTGACAAAACATCGATATGCATATCAGGTGGATTGTATTTATGTGAAGGTGCATGCTGTGGTACATGGGAAGCATGTTATTCTTAGCATAAGCCAGAAACAGGTAAGTACAATGACAAAGTGCAATGAATCACGACTGTGTCGAAAGTTCGTACAACGCACTGATTATTTTGTTCAAAACACGCTTGAAAACAATTTGCACTGTACATACAATATGACCTCGACTATTGAAAAAAATAGAAGAAAAAAGGCAGCCAGCGCACGCGCGCACGCTCGTGGACCGAAAGTTCGTACTACATGTACATGACCACACTGACTTTGTTCAAATCACACTTGAAAATAGTTCGTCTTCGCGAAAGTTCGCTGTACAGAAGTTCGTCGTAAACGAATAATTTTGACTTGAATTGATGCCTGGCCAACCATAGGATTGAACTTAGTTCGTACTAATGGAAAGTTCGCCTTATCAGTGTTCGTCCTAACGAGGTTTGACTGTATGTGTTTCAATGTTGTTATGCTCACAGCGCAGTACATATTCATTTGTTCCTTTGTCTGGAAGTTTGGAGACTCAGGGTTGGCAGCCATCGTGTTCTCCTTCGCAAGCCCCTCTTACCCCCTCTCTCGCAATTGGCAGTGGACCCCTTCAATTTGTCAAATGGTGTGTGTGTGTGTGTTGATGTCCATGGCTTGAAAGTCTTGCTGTTTGTAGCAGGATTTTGTGATCTAAACTCCTGCTGTAATTACTGTGTTGTGTCGTTGCTCCCTGTGTTTCCAGTACGGCCCTCCTGGGGCACTGGACGCTAGGAGACCGGTCTCTACCACGTCGAGTTCGCCAAGGTCAGTTCAGGCATGTGTGTGTGCGCGCGCATGTGCGTGTGTGTGTGTGCGTGTGTGTGTGCGTGTGTGTGTGTTTACCAATGCGGTGAACAATACTGACGGGCGCCTCTACCCGTTCACAGGCTGGAGAAAGACTTTGTGTTACTGGTGCAGAGAGGTAGCAGTATCAATCTCTGCAAACGACTGCACAAGTTTTAGTAAACTGAGTACAGTGGTATGTCACGCATCCAGTGTTTAATCATCCGCCATGTTGGTTATCCAGCAGAGCACTGACAGCTTATATACTGTATATTTTCAGTCTTGATTCTATTGAATGTGGACAGCGAGCATGGTTGCCTTTATGTAACATGCAAGTCACTCTCTAGATATTAGCACGATGACTCTATCTCAGGATAGTGCTACACATAATAGAACATCATAAATACAGGTACAGTAATGCTGGAAGCCTGATTCATACTTCATTTCGCCTACGGGAAATGCGTCGCATCGCGAAAAAGTCGGCTTGAGCTCAACTCGCTCAACTCAGCCCATCGCGCGACGGTCCTCCGATGATTTTCCCGTACGCGAGATGAAGTATGAATTGGCCTGTACAGTCCTTTTGAGTCTTAAATACAAGATAACTATGTAGCTCCAGCTATCAAGAGTATTCAGTTACTGTAAATCAAAAAAATTTCGCTTGCAAAAATTTGTCCCCAGAACCATTTGTCAGTTTGGGTCACTCTTATGCCGCTGGACTCTCTGTAAAAAAATGCGTACAGTAGACAGGGATCTACAAACTACGCGGACATTTGTACTACTATACCACTACTACTGGCACTAGTACATGCCGCACGAAACATCGATCACTTTTTCGGACTCTTGCACACCCACAACGAAAATTTAGTGGCGGCGAAAAGTGTTTTTTGCAGATCGGCGAGAGTTTTTCACTGGCGAAAATTTGTTGATTTATTACAGTATCCACAGCAGCGTCTGGTCCTGAGGGTGCAGGATATCTGGCCAGCATCTGTATTCTTTTTCGTAGTCCAACAGTTAGCCTTTGACTCGGCAGAGGCCGTGAAGTTGGATAGAGCTACCAGTTTTAGCAGACACAATCTACATTGTAGAACACTTGTTGAGGTCGAGGACCAGTGATCATGTGCAGCTGTTTTGGAAATTTGGTGCCTTCATTACAGTGCATTGTGCCACAATTCTTTGCATGGTGTATTTCTCAATGATACGAGTGCCTGGTTGCTATGACGAGAATCATCCGCAGACGACAAACATGGTGTCTTTGTTTTAATTTCCGAGCAAGCCAAGTCCTGTTCTGCACGAAGTCGAGTGGTCGAGTGCTGTCATCGTAACTAATGCATGACTTGTCGTCGTCCGTGTTTGTTTGCTTTCTCCGGCATCATTGCTGTTGCAGACCGCGACTCGCGGTTCCTGGCAAGGCACACTCCGCATCCTCTGTCAGTGCCGACGACATCAGGCACTTGCGCGAGGATGACGAGGAGTCCGGATGGGCCGGGCAGCAGGAAGAGGTATGTCTTGTGAATGGCCTGTACATGTACAGCAGTTTCGCAGACTTGAAAGAAGGAAACAATGGTTTTCTACTGTGTGGTGACTCGAGTTTCACTGTTTTACTAAGCATCAGGCGGAACACTTTGTTTCCTTCTTTTAAGTTTGTGTACTCTGCACCTAGGTGCGTTGAGCACTGTCACGAGCAACCACAACTCTCCTGGAGTGTACAGCAGTTATTGCGCACACAAGGTTGCAGAGTTCTCCTGGGCGTTTAGTTCAATCAGAACAATGCCCCGGCCATCAGTTTGCTGTAGTTGCATGGTCTCCTCTGAAGGGAGATTGGGCTAGGTTTTGTCGGTGTTTTGCATGTGGACATAGCATGCCATGTACAATGTGTGTAACCCTTCCTGTGCGAATCTACTTTTCCAGCTAGAGCTGACTAGAGTGCAAGGAATCTTTCTGGCCGTGCCAACAGCGCGTTGCAATGACGAGAATCAGTCCCAGACTACAAACGTGGTGTCTTTTGTTTTAATTTCCGAGCAACTGCAGCTGTCCAAAGGAATCTCGGCCTTTCTGCTTCGGTTGTTGTGCTGGTCTGTTTGCGAATATTGTGTGGCCGCATGTGTAGCCGTGCACACATGATCAAGTAAAGCCAATACTTTACGCTCGCCCATGGCTTTTTTGTGTCCTCTCTCTCTCTCTCTCTCTCTCTCTCTCTCTCTCTCTCTCTCTCTCTCTCTCTCTCTCTCTCTCTCTCTCTCTCTCTCTCTCTCTCTCTCTCTCTCTCTCTCTCTCTCTCTCTTGCGATTGATTGTCGTTGTGTAGGTTGACTTTGATGCTAAGTTAAGCTGGGGTGACAGCGATGACGATGCATCAAAGGGAGGCCGCTCTCCTCGTTCGCCTGGCGGCGCTGGAGCAGGTCCCAGGCATACACAGCATCAGCAGGACCAAGCTAGACCTCAACGTCTGGCTTTCAAGGTGAGTCATGGCGCGCACGCGCACATCTTCATCATTTTGTGATTAAACTGTGGCAATACGCCCAGTAAGAAGGTAGATGTTGCCTGTGTCTATGTTGAAGTAAAATAAAGCTAAACAACAACACTACCTGTCCTGTTCTCTGCTCTGCCTGTGCATGTCAAAACATGGTCACCTGCTGCGATGTGCACAACGATGTCCGTTGCAATGACGAGAATCAGTCCCAGACTACAAACGTGGTGTCTTTGTTTTAATTTCCGAGCAACGGACGAAAGCATCCCTTTGGTTTTTGTCTGCAAAACTGTCAAGTAACTCTTGCTTCCCTCTGTATGATGCTCATGCCTGTATGGTTTCTTCTCTGTTTTCCCAATTGCTGTGTTCCGTGCAGCGAGATGGCAGTAGCTCAGCGCCACCATCTGGCGGACACGATCAGCGTGTCAACGGCTTGCCCGATGCTTCCGCTGCCAACTTCTCCCAACAGCAACAGCAGCAAGCACAGCAGCAGCGCAACAATGCGGGTCAGGACTACAACAGGCGACAAACGCCAGCGGCAGGACATCAGGGCGCTGCGGCTGCCAACCATACCCAGGCGCCGCCGCAACCCACTGCCCAGTCGCCGGCTGGCAGTAACGAGTCGCGTTTCCGCCTCAGCACTGAAGCCCGTCAGAACATCCAGCGTCGCCGAGAGCAGGAGCTGGAGGAGGAGCAGGCCAGGCGCGAGCGCACACAAGCCAAGCTGCGAGAGCTGACCGAGCGCAAACGTGTCAGCAGTCCCACGCAGTCTCATCCGCCGCCGCAACAGCAGCAGTCGTCTGCCATGCCCAATCGTGGACAAGGACAGTCGGCACAGTGGCGGTCTGCCAGCCAGGACGAAATGGCCGGCGAAGATCGCCGTGACCAGCAGCGCCCATCGCGTCAGTTTGATCACGACCAGCAGCAGCCAGCGCAGCCATCTCAGCCCCAGCGTACGCGCATGCGTCGTAGCGACGTCACGCTGCGGCCAATGCACGACGAACGGCCGAATGCTGCCGCCAACAGCACTGTGGCGACGACTACGGCCAACAAGCCGACGACAGCAACTGCTGCGGCATCGTCCTCAGTAGAAACGTCGTCGGTTCAAGCCATGGACGTTGTCAGCAGCGCTACTTCTGGTCCACCGCCGGCAGCTGGTGGTCAGCCTGCACTGACGATAATGCGCAGGCAGCAGCAGCAACAACAGCATCAGCAACAGCCTGCTCCCGCGACTTCTGCCAGTACGACGTCCGCCTCATCCGAGAGCACACAGAGCGAGCGGAGATCTGCTCCGGCTGCCGTAGCCCCCGAGCAAGACCATCATGCAGCAGAGCGAGCATCGGCGACAGGTGGCCCTGCAGCACAGGATGCACCACCATCTCCTCGCCGGCGTCCCGCTGCTCCCTTGCGAGCCGCTCCTCCGCCGGCTACATCGGCGTGGGGCAATGTGCGCAAGTCGCCGGAAGTCGCCGCCCCTACGCAGCCGCCTTCGTCGAGCCTGCCCGTTGAGGAGTGGCCCACGGCGGAGCAGTCCAAGGACATTAAGGAGACGGTGCGGCCGGACGACGCCACCACACCTGGCGGCTACATGGACGATCGCGATCGTCCTCGCTACCCGCACCACGGCCATCATGGCGACGATGGGCACCACATGGGCGGCATGGACGACGAGGAGATGTACAGTCGGTACGGTCGCGGTGGTGGCAGCGGTGATGCCCGTGCTGCTGGTCCCGGCGGACCACACAACCAGCGTCAGCTGTACCGCGGTTATGACGACGAGTATGGTCACCGCCCGGACCGCCCCGAGGGCGGCGGCCGAATGCGAGGCAGAGGCCGAGGCAGCGCGCGCTTTGGCGACGAGCACCGCGGTGGTCGCGGCGGGCCCCGCCGTGGTGGCGGGGGCGGCGGCCAGGATTATCGTGATGACTACCGGTACGAGCCTCGCGTCCAGGGTCCACGTGAGGACTACGGTGGCTATGATGAAGAGCGATCGGCGAGGCGGCGGCCACGCGAGGATCGGCGTCGAGAAGAGCGCATGGAGAGTATTGAAAAGACGCGCGAGGCCACCGCAGCCATTGCTGCTGCTGCTCAGGTCGCGGCTGATGCGCAGGCCGACGCGGCTGACGCACAGAAAGAAGAGGGCGCCGTCGGCTTGAAGGACTCAGCTCCGTCGCCGGATGTTCAGGCTGAGCACAGGCCACGTCGCGAGAGACCTTCCCGCTCGGACGGCCCGTGGAAGCGCGGTGGCGACAACCAGCAGCAGCAGCAGCAACAGTCCGAGGGAGCAGATGGCCGCGCGGACCGTCGCAGGGAGCACCGTCGCAGAGACAACGACGAACAGCGCACTGGTGGCAGTCGCGATGCGCCACGCCCCAGGAGAGAAGAGCGAGGAGGTGAACAACAGCGCACGGAGCGTGGCGGCGAGCAGGATTCCCGTCCTGAGCGCGCCGACCGTGGCGATCGTCACGAGCGCAGAGACCGTGCAGAGCGAGGTGCTCGCCAAGACCGAGGAGACCGTGTTGAACGTACTGGCGAAGACCGCGGCGAGCGAGCAGAGCGTCCGGATCGGCGTGAGAGAGGTGGCCGCTCGGAGCGCGGCGGCGGTGCTGCACGTAACCAGCGTGATGCCGCCGACGGTGGAAACCGCGAGCGTCCGGAACGTCGCGAACGTACAGACAGACCCGACCGAGAGAGGCCAGAGAGAGGCGAGCGTGCAGATCATCGCGGCGAGCGCACAGACAGGCCAGAGCGTGCGGACAGACCCGAGCGTCGAGAGCGCCACGAGCGTGCAGACGGAGACAAGCGCACCAGGAAGCCACGCACCAGCGGCACAGACCATCCCCGGGCCGAAGCACGAGACAGCACTGATGGCGGCTCCGTCAGCAAGCCCAGCGCCAAGTCGCAGGCGGAAACATCGGACGCGCGTTCCAGACAGGACAAGCCAAGACAGCCTGCCTGGTCGACACCGTCAGCACGGCCCACGTTTACAGAGGCATCCACATCAGCCGCATCAGCAGCACCGAGGGATTCTGCGGAGTCCGTTCCTGCCGCTAAGCGATCGTCGCTGGACGAGTCCAGCGGCAAGGAAGGTAAACCTCAGAAGGTGCAGGACGCCGACCAGATCAGAGCAGCACGTGAGCGTGCCATTACCCGCCGCCGCGAAGCCAGAGCACTGGAGGAGAGCGCCAGCAAGGAAGCAGAAAGCCGCGAGGGGCCGCCACCCGCGCCCATCACATCGCTATCGTCCAACACAGGCAAGGAAGCAGCGGCAGCAGCAACGTCTACAGCCAGCACCAGACCGCCAAGGGCTGGCCGTGATGCCGTCGCGGCACCAGCACGTGGTCGCGGAGGCCATTCCGTCAACACTCGCCGCGGCAGCGGTGAGAGTGGATCCATGGCCACGTCCGGATCATCCACCAGTGTGGCGAACACCGGCACTGGCACGACGACGACATCAGCACCGCCCGCTCGCGGCGGTAAGGTCAAGGGCTATAGTACGCAACGGCCTGCAGCTCTTCTGCCCAATCCGTCTGTCGCTCCCCGATCGTCTGTCGCCAGTACTGGTAACCAAGCCGACGACAAGTCCGCCGAAGGGCGCTTGGGTGCTTCATCACAGCGTCAACGTGGTATTGGGAAAGCTCGGCGTGGCGCTCGCAATCAGCAAACAGCGAACAAACTGTCGCCCACAGAACCTCCAGTCAACTCTGGTCGGTCCAGTAGCCCAGCCCCGGATGCTGCGAGTGCACGGCCAAAGCGGCCCACAACACCCAAGGTCCATGTTCTAGATAGCGTCGACTTCAACTCGGCCATGGTGCATGTCATTGATGAAGTTCCAGAGAAAGGCAAGAACCAGCGGAGCGCTCCTCTTGTCGACGCCGGCTCCACGGCCGACGGTGATTTCCAGGAGGTTGTTTCACGCCGCAACCAGCGTGAGAAACGCCAGCGCAAGCAGCTTGAAGAGCAGCAGCAGCAGCGCCAGCAGGGTGATGCGACCGCGTCACGGGAATCGTCGCGTAAGACCGGCTCTGCTCAGGTTAACGGAGCTGCGGCGTCTTCGTCCCAGGGTGCTCAGTCGTCACGCGCTGTCGGTGCTCGCGCTCCCGTGTCCGCCACCTCGCCAGTTCTCTTCAGCGGTAGCAACGCCTCTGCCAGCTACGCCATGACGGCATCGGGTGGCAGCAGTACGTCAGTAAGCACCGGCGGCAAACCGGTGGAGAAGACGTCGAGCGCCTGGAGTGGGTCGGCGGCGTCGGGTACTGACTCTGGCGCATCGCCCGTCTCGCCCACAGGCCAAGCCGCCAATTCACAGCAGAACTTCCTGGCGTCTCCGTTCGACATGCCAGCACTGTACAACACGGTTGTTCAGCAGCAGCAACAGAGCGTTGGTAGCAGCACTGCCAACACGCCCAGCTCTCCCACGGTGCAGACGGCCACCAGCAATCATCCGTCGTCCACGGTGCACGAGATCCTTCAGGTGGGCCCCGACGGCGCCGGCGCCAGTTACAACCCGCCGCGCAGCCAGGGTGCTGTAGGTGACAAGAAGGTCGCCACCACCCCCGGTACTAGCTCTAAAGCCGCCACCGCAACCTCCAGCGGTGCTTCTGTTGCCTCGTCGTCATCATCATCAACGGCAGCAGCGGCCGCCGCCGCGAAAGCCAAGGCACGTGGTCGTGGGCGCGGCGGCACCAGGCGAAAGGAGACCACCGTTCGTCCTGGTGGCAACGACGCCACCACTACTGTGGACTCTGGCAAGGTATGTGCCACGCCGAGGCTTGGTTTGCAGCCTTATCGTTTCTTTGTTCATTTACTGTAAGTCTACAAATGTTCGGCTCATTCAAATTTCAGCATCCCAGGGCTAAAACCCATTTCGGCCGCATTAAAGTGTCGGCCAAATTTGACCAGGCCGAATATGTGTTGACTTCCAGTAGGTGCTGTAGAGAGGTGTACTGTAGATTGACCCCCCTCCTGGAAAATCTCGATAACTCTCAAAACGCGAACAGTGATATTGGTGATATTGAATCGGGTCAACTGCTCAACAGCAGCTGCAGCGTGATGCAACTTGGCTGGCCGGTTAGCTCCTGTGAATATGTGTGCTGTGCTGTAAATCAACTGCCTGTCTGCGTACATGTTTGAAACTCGCAACATGTAGGTAGCAATCTTTTGTAAGATTGACTCTGGTTAGCTTCTGAAGCCCCCGGTATGCGTGAGTGTGTTGGTCGACCGAAAAAAAGAGTTGCACCCACTTACTAAGGGCGCGTTTGGTTGGTACGACCTACAGCAAGATTCACCAGAACAGCGCGTTTGGTTGGGACTGCACCTGTTCTGGGTCGGCCAGAACATGTTCTGATTGCTCCGGCTTCGAGGCCGGAGCAGACTGAGCAGTTTCACTTTTTCACAGTGAAACCTGGCGGGAACATCGATTTTGGTCCCAAATGATCACGTGCATACGCTTTTGGGTTTGATTCGTAGTACCGTACAAAGTGACCATGGCGACCCATACACATGTCGAAGAATGCACCGCGTTTGGCACATTTTTTCACGAAAATGTGCTCTGTTTCTGGAGTACCGTTTGTTTGGCATGAGGCTGCGCATATGCACCCGCTGTTCAATCCTGTTCTAGATCGTACCAACCAAACACACCCTAAATGTACGCAGTTATTGGGGAGGGCTTATGACACTGGTATATTGCTAATACTTAGAGCCTGGTTCTATGTGTGTGCGTATGGCTTTCCTCTTGTAAGATAGGGTGATGTACGGAGTTCGTTGCAATGACGAGACAAATTCCCAGACTATAAACGTGGTGTCTTTTGTTTTAATTTCCGAGCAACGACCTTTTCGTACGTTTCACATTTTGCTGATGCTACCTGTCAAGATAATATGACGTAACGCATATAAGAACATTTTGTGTATCAAGCTATTCACTCGCTTTTTCTCTTCCTGTGTTTGCATTCTTCCGAACAGTCGGCTGAGCGCAAGAGCAGCAAGACATCAGCCAATATGGCCGCTGGAGACTCTGCAAAGGCCCGTCGTCCGGAGAAGAAGCCCAAGAAGCAAATTCTTGACAAGAAGTCCAAGGTAAGTTGATCGCGTAGCCTATTGTGTCTGTGAATGTGGCAGTGTTTTGTTTTGGCTAGGCAACACCGTCGACACTGTATCAAGAGAAGCATTGATTGATTTGGATTCCGTCTTTATGCTGCAGTTACATGTATGCCAGTTTTATGTTCATTGTTGGACCAGTAAAATCGTGCTCTTGTTTTGCACACCTGCTGGGCACCCTGTAAGAAGACCTTAGGGTCTGTTGGCAATGCCCAAGTAAAATAATAAAATTCAAAATACCTGCTCCGTACGAATCTTCAGCTGTCCTGCCTCGGGCTGCAACAAATAATAACAAATGAATGTTATAACATTCTTGGACTGTTGAGCACTGTACAGGCAGAATATTTCGTCGGTCAATAATTTCGCCCAACTCCAAAGAAAGGGAGTTTGTCTGGTTGTAAATTTCGTCCATGGATCATAAGAGTGGATTGAAAAGCTGGACCATCGACATTAGTCCGGCATTTCATTTAGTCCAAAACCTCCTTGGACGGAAAAAACGAAATTTAATTCCAGACGAAAATTTCTGCGTACACAGTATATGACGATTAGTATCTCATGGCGTACTTGCACACGTCATACAATGCAGAACAATAGTCAACAATCCATTGGCCTATTTTGTCTTGTGTTGTGCAGACGAGCGATGCGGACGAATCCGTTTCTCCCGCTGAAGGTGCCGGAGCAGAGTCGCATCCTGCAGCCGAGCCTCCGAGCACTGACAGTATGAAGCCAGTAGCCACTGCAGTCTCCGCCAAACTGCAAACACCGGGCGGCGCCGCTCTGCAGGCGGCAAGTATGCCCGGACTGGGCAAGCAGGTGTCCCCCGCTCCCATGGCCGGCAGCACCATCACGGGGCCTGCGTCGGCCATGTCAATGGGTATGGATCAAACCCTCAGTAACCATCCCTTCTCGTCCTGGGGTGGCGTCCAACAGCAGCAACAACAGACGGCACAGCAACCGCAGCAGCAACAACAAGCTAAGCCCGCCACTACCAACAGTACCATCAAGACAACGGAGCAACTGGAGCAGAAGACCCAGCTGGCTGCCTATAATGCTTGGAATACGGTGTCAACGCCCGCCCCCGATCACAGTCGGGTAGCGCACCCGGCGAGCGTTGCCGAAACCAGCAAGCCGCATGTCAGCAGTGGCACAGCCGGTAGCGCACCCGGCGAAGCTGAGAAAATCCCTGCCGGCCAAGGGTTCGCTGGTGCCAGCAAGATTGGCCTATCGGCCCAGACCATGTTCAATCCGTTCGCCTCGCTGTATCAGGGTCCTCCAGCCCAGCAGCAGCAACCCCAGCAACAACAACAGCAGCAGCTTGCTCAGTCCGGCTTTGTCCTCCAGCAGACGCGTGCGCAGGCACAGCAGCTTGGCCAGGCATCTGCCCAGGCCGCCGGCGGCCTTTCTGCCCGCTCCTTTGCTGCGGACAGCGCGCTGGCAAGCAGCATGATGGCGGCGGCTGCGGCGCCCAACTCTGCCACCAGCCAGTACCACATGCCGCACGGCAAGCCCGCCATGATGCTGAGCAATCCAGCGGCCGCCGGTGCATCGCAGCAGGCCATAGCCCGTCCGCGCATGATGCTCAACCAGGCGGCGTACGGCACCAACCTGGTCAGTCACCAGCTGCACGGCACTGCCGGAATGCAGCCCATGATGCTCAGCGGCTCGCACATGAGTGGCAACGCTGCACCGCCAGCCAATACCCTGGTCCAGTCACAGCAGCAGCATATGCGTAACATGCAGTATACCGCCAGTGCGTTTCCCGGTCAGGCGCAGCAGCACCTCGCCCTACGCCCGATCGACTCCAACCAGTCCGTCGGTGGATCTACGGCCGTAAGTTCGACGGCCGCTGTATCTTCGTCTGCGCCTCCGTCCAGTCAAGGCCGAGCCAAGCAAGTGCAAGGAGAAGCAGCAGGTAATGGCAGCTCGTCGCTCGCAAAGCACGTCGAAGCGAAGGAGTTCAAGCCGCAGCTGCACCGTCCTACCCTTGACGGTAGTGAGTCCACAGGTAGTTCTGTTAACTCGTCCTCCAACTCTAGTCATGTCCAGGTAATGTACAGACAGAACCCGTCACAGCAGCAACAACCTGCGTCGTTTGGAATGGTCGCCTCACAGTCAGACTCTGTGGGTCAGCAGCTGCAGTTTCAACAAGCCTCACAACAGCAGCAGCAACAACAACAGCAGCAACAACAACAACAACAGCAGCAACAACAGCAGCAGCAGCAGTTCTTTTCCCAGCCAGGTCAAGGCCAGCACCCTGGGGCCGGTTTTGGCCAGCTTGTAGGTAACCAGTATACGATCCGCTCATCGCTACCGCAGCAGACCAATACACTGAGCTCGCAAGTGCAGGCACAATCTCAGCTATTAGCTTCCCAGCAGCAACAACAACAGCAGCAGCAGTCCAACACTGCTCACCAGCTGCACAGCAGCCTGCAGCAGGCAGGTGCAGCCGCCAACCAGATGGTGCGCCCTTCACCGGCCGCACTGCAGCAGGCGTCGCAGGCGTATGCCATCGGTGCACCGCCGCGCCATCCCGGCACCGCGCTGCATCAGGCGCCAGGCGTGCCCCCCTCCGCCGTCGCCGGCCAGAGGCACATCTCGTCCGTCCCGGTCGGCGGTATGCTGCACAACGTGGGTCGAGGTCATCACCCCAGCCAGCATCACTACTCGCTACCCACGGCGGCGGCACAAGCAGCAGCAGCAGGACAGGTTGTCGGTGCCCAGCGACCGGGTGGTATGCACGCAGCAGCGGCAGCACAAATGGCCGCTGCAGCAGCAGCCGGACAGCAGCAGCAAGGTCAAGGGGGACCCGTTGACCAGAAGCGCATTGAGCAGCAGCGCGCTCTTCAGGAGGCGTCCACTCACATCCGCCACGCCAACGAGCAAGAGGCGATGTACCGTCAGCGCCAGCAGCAGACCAATTCTGCCGCCGCCGCTATTGTGTCCACGGCCACAGCAGCAACTGGCAACATGGCAGACGGGAAGTCACCGCTTCTACCCTATCCCAATGCCGCAGCGCAAGGTGCACCACGGCCGCCGTACATGCCCGCTCAGCAATCTCGCGTGCACCCTGCCTCTGCCGCTGCTGGTCCGTTTCCCGCCGCCCCGATAGGAGTCGCGCCGTATCATCACAGCTTTCAGCAGTCTGCGGCGCTGAGCAGTCGTCTTCTCCCTGCTGGCAACTCCGTCGGTGGTCTTCCACCCGTCGCAGCTTTGCGGCCTTCTGCACCGAGTACAGCGTCGAATTCGGCGCCCGCGCTAGGTTCTGCAGCTGACAAGTCCGGTGGTAGTGTGACAGCTGCTGCCACTACTGGTTCGGTTCCAACCGCTCCAGCCACCGGCGCAAGCTTTGAACCCATCGTTGTGTCAGACAGTACACCCCCAGCGGTGACGGCAGGAGTCGAGCAGCAGCGTTCCGCAGTGTCCGAGGTGTCCGCACCGCCATCGGCATCGAGCAGCTCTGCTACTGAGCCGGCTTCAGCCAGCGCGCCAGCAGCACACAGCGAAGTTAGTGCTGCTCCGTCAGCAGGGGCGAACGTAACAGCTGCGGCTACTGACTAGAGAAGCTGGCAGACTCTTCCAATTCGATATCACCATCAACGACTGCCGCCAGTGCAGGTGGTCTGCGAGCCGCAGCCACCACAATGGCCGCAACGTCGTTATGTTCCGTGTTTTGTGAGGCTGCCGTGGATCCAGCGAGTCTAGTCCGTTAGCGGCATGCGTACGGCGTGTATGCTTGCTTCTCTTTTGTGTGTTGTCAGTGGCATGTCCGCGCCCGTAGGAGGTGTATTGACTATTTTGTTGTGGGCACGTCTCAGTTCAGTTCTTCGCTTCTGGTCCCTAGCGGCTCTGCTGGCCGGCTGACTGACCCCGGACTCTGTCTCTGCCCGCTGCTTCTTGCCTTTTCCGCTCTTCTGTGGATCCAACAGTGCGCTTGCTGTTTGCTATGTTTGGCGGCGTCTGATACGACGCCTCCTTGGTGACCTGAACAAAAATGTGCTCGCCTGGCTCGGTTCACTCTGCCAGTGGAGCCGACGGCAGCAGATTGTGGCGGACACACACTCGTACACGTGGTGGCGTGTTCATGAATGAATCTCTCGCTTGTACTGCTACGGCCAAGCGGATGCAGTGCGCGCGTGCAAGCAAGCGGGCTCCTGTCTTCTCCATGGCATGTTTCTCGTCTCAATGGGGGGCCTTGCGCTAGTGGAGCGCGATAGAGAACTGCTGACACTCAACTACAATGACACCAGAACGACATCAAGTTGTATGATTTTGTGTATGTGTTTGGTTGTGGTTGTGTCGCAATGATGGTTCGTCGTGACGAACTCGCCAATCGATCACTCTCCGCCTGCTGATCTCCACCCAGCTACTGCTGCTGATTTTTATATTCTTTTCCTTTACTTTCTCTTCTTCTTCGCGATCGTTGCTGTAGCGTGTAGGGCCTCTCCGATTTGGCCTGAGGGGTTGTTTTTTTGCTCAGCTTTTGCCTTTTGGACCAGCACCGTCTGGGCCTGAGTTTTTTGGTTTCTGACTTGGAGACGGTGTGTGTGTGTGTGTACATGTATGTCGATTGTCGAATGCTGCGTGTGGTGCAATTTCTCGCTTTCTGCATTGTGTTGTCTTTGACCTTTTCTCTCTCTTTTTGTAGTGTGGAGTTCACCCGCTCCTCACTGCAATTTGTGGTGTCTTTGACTTTCTCTCTCTCTCTTTGTAGTGTGGAGTTCACCCGCTCCTCACTGCAATTAGTGGTGTCTTTGACTTTCTCTCTCTTGTTGTAGTGTGGAGTTCACCCGCTCCTCACTGCAATCATGTTGCTGTGCGCCTGCCGTTTCACTTCTCACCTGCGGGGAGCAGTCACCTCGTGTGCGTTTTCGTGCTGACCTGGTCGCTGCTTGTCGGGGCGACCATATTGGTCTTGTAAATGTGTCTGATATGTCTAATAGTATACATATAACATGTTGGGTACATACAGGCTGCCCGTGATCTGGAGCCATCCCGGTTCTGTGTGTTGGTTTCTTTCTTTCTTTTTTCTTGCTCGCAAAATGTCACCGGGAGACATTGCACACTGTCTTGTGCTGATTCTGTTTCGAATTGTCGTTTGTTTTGTTTGTTTTTGCTAACTACCAACTACTGCTGAAAGTTGTTTTTTTTCATACTGCTTTTAGCTGTTATTATTCGGCGTTGCTACCCTCATGCCTCTCTGGATATTGCCCCACAGGACTGTGTACTGGTCTGTCATGACTTCTAAACCGGCTCGTCTCTTCGTGTCCACTTTTCCATTCCCGTGCGGACGGAGAGTCTCTGTGCCGCGTCCGCACGCAGAATGGGTGTGTGTGTGCGTGTTTGTGTATGTGTATCCGTGTGTGTGTGTGTGTGTGTGTGTGTGTGTGTGTGCTGCCCTAACCGGGACTCTCTCACTAATGCATTGGAAGAGTATTTTGCAACTTAGTGTCGTAAACACCTGAAACTAGGGAGGTTTAGTCCCACGTAATCCGTGGGTACTTTACGTGTGTGTACCACGTGATATATATACTCAGTGACCCACGTACAGACGTTTTCTGATTCACGACATACCGTGTATGGAGGCTCACCCACGTTCCGCCAGAACGTGGGTGAAAATCAGAATGGAGCGCATTGTGCGAGCTGTGAGGGTGCTCAGCTGAAGAAGTTTCCGAAGCACGAAATCAAAATATTGGATGAGCTTCTTAGGCCCGGGTAACTTCGTCTTTGACCAGGTTTGGGCCTTTCACTTCATGCTTTTGTTTGTTCCGTGTGACTACACAACCCACGTGTACATGTATATGTGTACATGTATGTCGATTGTCGAATGCTGCGTGTGGTGCAATTTCTCGCTTTCTGCATTGTGTTGTCTTTGACCTTTTCTCTCTCTTTTTGTAGTGTGGAGTTCACCCGCTCCTCACTGCAATTTGTGGTGTCTTTGACTTTCTCTCTCTCTTTTTGTAGTGTGGAGTTCACCCGCTCCTCACTGCAATTAGTGGTGTCTTTGACTTTCTCTCTCTTGTTGTAGTGTGGAGTTCACCCGCTCCTCACTGCAATCATGTTGCTGTGCGCCTGCCGTTTCACTTCTCACCTGCGGGGAGCAGTCACCTCGTGTGCGTTTTCGTGCTGACCTGGTCGCTGCTTGTCGGGGCGACCATATTGGTCTTGTAAATGTGTCTGATATGTCTAATAGTATACATATAACATGTTGGGTACATACAGGCTGCCCGTGATCTGGAGCCATCCCGGTTCTGTGTGTTGGTTTCTTTCTTTCTTTTTTCTTGCTCGCAAAATGTCACCGGGAGACATTGCACACTGTCTTGTGCTGATTCTGTTTCGAATTGTCGTTTGTTTTGTTTGTTTTTGCTAACTACCAACTACTGCTGAAAGTTGTTTTTTTTCATACTGCTTTTAGCTGTTATTATTCGGCGTTGCTACCCTCATGCCTCTCTGGATATTGCCCCACAGGACTGTGTACTGGTCTGTCATGACTTCTAAACCGGCTCGTCTCTTCGTGTCCACTTTTCCATTCCCGTGCGGACGGAGAGTCTCTGTGCCGCGTCCGCACGCAGAATGGGTGTGTGTGTGCGTGTTTGTGTATGTGTATCCGTGTGTGTGTGTGTGTGTGTGTGTGTGTGTGTGTGTGTGCTGCCCTAACCGGGACTCTCTCACTAATGCATTGGAAGAGTATTTTGCAACTTAGTGTCGTAAACACCTGAAACTAGGGAGGTTTAGTCCCACGTAATCCGTGGGTACTTTACGTGTGTGTACCACGTGATATATATACTCAGTGACCCACGTACAGACGTTTTCTGATTCACGACATACCGTGTATGGAGGCTCACCCACGTTCCGCCAGAACGTGGGTGAAAATCAGAATGGAGCGCATTGTGCGAGCTGTGAGGGTGCTCAGCTGAAGAAGTTTCCGAAGCACGAAATCAAAATATTGGATGAGCTTCTTAGGCCCGGGTAACTTCGTCTTTGACCAGGTTTGGGCCTTTCACTTCATGCTTTTGTTTGTTCCGTGTGACTACACAACATTGCAACGTGGGTACGGGTGCCCTTCATCCACTTTACGTGGATCACCCACGTACGCGTTTCCGTTACGTGGGAACTAAACCTCCCTATTGGCTGAAAGATCAAGACAGCACTGTATGCACCACACTTTTGTTTTATACTATACTACTGTAGGCAGCTCCTAACTTTTCTGCATGGGCATACCAGTGTCAATTTGCACGTGACAGCGAATTTCCTCATTGATCACAACATAACTACAGCCATGCAGGGGTAAATAACAATAATATTAATATTAGGGCTCAAACGGTCACGGTTTTACCCCTGACGGTTAACTGCTAAGCTAACGGTCGGTTAACCGGTTATAACCTATAAGCCACGGCAATCCTGCGGACTCTTTTTTAACCGTATATTTGACTATACTCATTCAAAAAATGTACCCTATTCGGTACAACGCACACTTGTACATTCTCTTGCATGCTCATTCATACATACTCTCACACCAAGAGACCAGATATGACCGAGTTGACAGCCCAGAAATTGCGTACGCGTGCGACAGCCCGCGAAAGTGCACACTTTGCAACGACCTGATACTTGAAAAATTGACTGAAAAGTTACTGCGCAACCGTTATCTTTATCGGTTAACCGTTAATTCTTCGTAACCGGTCTGCAACCGGTTAATCGGACTAATCGTTTGAGCCCTAATTAATATTATAGCAATAAAAACTGCTTTATGGCAGTTTTCTAAAAAAAGTTATTGTGTTCTAGTCCATGGACCTCGTCTAAAAAGTAAGAAATTAACGAAATGTGATAGCCGAAAATTAAAATTTCACACAAAACCTCACAATAATCACGACACTTGAAGATCTAATAGTACGGCTTTCAACACTTGTTTATTCCGACACTTGTACTTGTACAAGTGCATGTACTGCGCCAACATGCTTGCATATGAAAGAGGACCACGAGGGGAAAAGGTCGTCTCGCATCCTGTGTGTGATTATTGTGAGGTTTTGTGTGAAATTTTAATTTTCGGCTATCACATTTCGTTAATTTCTTACTTTTTAGACGAGGTCCATGGACTAGAACACAATAACTTTTTTTAGAAAACTGCCATAAAGCAGTTTTTATTGCTATAATTTCTTTTGTTTTTTTGGCTAAAGGATATAACTGTGTAACCAATGGAATGCCCTAATGATGGCCTACATGTAGCGCCTCTGCATGTTATTATTATTATTTTATTTATTTTACTAGGGTGTTTCCCACAGACCTACTGTATGTTCTTCTTACGGGAGCCCCTATGTGTATCATATCAAATTCAATACCGTATTATACGCATTGATGTGCAAGCCTTTTCTTGCAGAAAATGGAACTAGTCTTGCATAAATGTATTCATGTTCTTCTGCAGGGGAATCATACGGGTAGTGGCGGTGATACTTTTTTTATACGCAAGTCATTCTGTGGATGTTGCAGGATTTCATGACTGTCATAAAATTGTCTTGTCTTTCAGAAAATTCAGATGTCCACACCCTAAATCACATTTACTTGAGAATTGTAACCAGGTGTGCGCCGCAGATGTTTTTGTTGATTCTGTGTTTATAATTGTAGTCATGGGTTGTAGCAAGAGTACATAACCCCCCAGAGTGTGCAACGCCGATCCAGCTCTGTGTAGGGTCTTGGTCGAGCGGAATCGGATCTTCTGATGTCATGCGTACACTTCACACCAGCGCAAGGCCAGTCTCGAGGCAGGGCACCATTGTTTTTGATCCAAGAGTACCCGCGACTCCCCGGGTTCCCCTCAGATGTGTACGGTATTATGACGCAAAGATCCGATTCCGCTCGACCAAGACCCTATGCAGAGCTGGATCAGGCGTTGCACACTCTGGGGGGTTATGTACTCTTGGTTGTAGTGATAAGGTCATCCGGCATCATATTGTAGTGAAATCGTAATCCTGTTGATGTCGATAAAACTTTTGGAAGCAGTTCAGTGGCTTCAAAGTGTCCACGATTGTCTAAAACAACACAGCAAAGTAGGAACAATAAACATGCATTAAAATGTAAACAAATACATCGCTGAGTCCGACATCTCGTTCCAACAACTACACTGATCCTGAGGATATAAGGGGCAAGGATATATGGTTTTAGGTACTGAGAGATAAACAAGGCACTCCATAATAGTAAAATGTTACACGAGTTCGGGGGAGTATGAATGATATCCAGTCAAACCTCTTTAGGACGAACATCAAGGGACCGATGGCATTTGCTCTGTGAGTTTGTGTTAATACAATTATTTCTCCAATAGAGACACGAATAGATGTCTTCTACGGCGAAAGATTCTAAGCCAGACCAAACCATTGACTCGTCTATTATGAAACAAATGAGTCACTGAACTTTTCTTTAGCAACATGACGGCAACTGAAACAACAACAGAGAAAATACGTTACATGTATAGCACATTCTTGCAGGTACTACAAACAGATTGCAGATCGTAATTCTTGCTCTACCGGCACGCAACTTTATTTGGGGCAGTGCAATCTCGGCGCTACTCACAAATCAAACAGCCCAGACTCGAGTAAACAAATCCAATCGTACGAGATTTTCACGGGACGAGACTGCACCCATTGGCTTGTTTCGTATGAAGCAAACAAGTCACTGAATGCATGAACCTCTCCATAATGGAGATTTTCCCTGATATGCGAATTTATTTTGCATACTAGTACTCGGCCAATGCGTCTTTGAACCTTTCCCTCCAGTTTGGGAACTGCAGACGATGCTATGCCACTGCAAAATTCAGATTCTACCCTATGATCGGAGCACGGAATGCCGGAAGCAATCATGACCAGTGCCTTACTTGTAACGTACCAATGTACAATGCACATTAGTATTTCGACAACACATCTATTTAAAGCCTCAGCAGCAACATTATCCTTACCGTCAAGAAGGTGAACTCGCGTTCTTCGCACACTGTTGGCAAGGGCAAAGAGAAACGAATGGATCTAAATCCGAATAAAATCAGCACACGTTTCCGGAAATGAAAGGGTGAGCATAAGCAAATGAATCGAAGGAAGCTGGTCAACTCAGAGATCACCTGTCATAGAGTATTCCGTAAAAGGAGGCCTCGACAGCAGAAAAGCTAAATTTAGAAAAGAGATCCTGTCAGCTTTTCCATTATTAATTTTTATTGTATTCCACCTAAAATCAGCACACTTTTCGTAAATGAAAGAGTCGACACAAGCAAATGAATCAAAGGGAACTGGTCAACTCACCTATCATTGAGTAATATTCCGCGAAAAGAGGTCTCAGCAGAGCCGAAGCGAAATAAGCCAGGACACGAAATATCCGAAACAGCTCATGCAAGAAGCAGTTCCAAAGAAGGAAGTTCCTCGCGCATGCACATCCGAAAACGGACTGCTCTGCATGCAACACAATGTCTGCCGTGCACGTGCACAGCACGCGGCTACCACGCGTTAGTAGATCTAATACCGAGCACCTTACGTAGAAACTTACGTAGCCTAAGTGAAGTACCGAGCACCTTACGTAGAAACTTACGTAGCATAGCGGTGTCGTTTTTTCTGCCATGTGAACACAATAATAGAAAAGCTGACAGGATCGCTTTTTTTAAAGCTGACAGGATCGCTTTTCTAAATTATCAAATTTTTGATAGGGCAATCCCCACATGCACAGTACAGGCCTTCTTACAGGGTACGAGTACCCTAGCCCGAACAATTAATTAGGGGCCGTCCATAAAAATTAATATCGAACTTTTTTCACAAAACGGAATGCCTTATGGGCCATGGGGTGGGATGGGAGGGGGTTGACCAATTTCGTTTCAGAAAACATTGATTCATGTACATGGCTGTTGTATTATGCATGTATGTCGACTTTTTTATGTTCTGAGGGAGAGGGAGGGGTTGGGTCTAGGCACCGGCGGATTATGCCGGCAGAAAAATTGGCAGAATTCGGTACTTTTTCTGGTAAGTTTCATGCATGTTTGGTATGTGGATGAGCAGCATTCGAGGAATTGCCCGCCATAAGGTTTGTATGGTTCTGCCAATTTCACTGCTTTTCGAGCAGAATCTGCCACCTTTTCGAGCAGAATCCGTAGTTGGGTCTAAACCATGGTACCAGGGAGTTGTCAAATAAACTAAAAATAATTCGTTTGGTGAAAAAAGTTCGATATTTACGGAGGGCTCCCTAGTTTCACAAATTTTCGGTACTTTCGGTGGATTTGTTTCACGCCTAAAATTTCAATACACCGAACAAACACTTACACACATAATCCAATAGGGAACTGCTTCTCTGTACCTAAATTTTCTGTTCACCTAACTTGGCCTTTTGCCCGCCTCACACCGACGATATTGAGCACCTAAGATTTCTGAAATTAGAGTAATTATGGTTCGGGAAGTGGCGTATACTGTAAAACGGTTTATTTCAGCTTCGGAGTTGTTTTAGCGAAAGGAATGTTTTCGCTATTAAAAGTTTTGCTGCACCGATCGAAATTTTGCATCTGCAGAACATGTTAACAGTTCTCTTTTTTGCTCTGAAACTTGGATCGCTAAAGTATCAATTCGGTTCTGACTAAGAAAACGCTAAAAATGTTACCCGCCAAAAATTAGCCGTTCTACATTATACATAATGATAAAATATACGGGGACTGCACGAGCTGCAGGACACCGGTGTAAAAATCAGCGGGGAAAATGTGCACATCCTGGTAACGATAACAAAGCCGAATGAATTGAATATCACATTGTACATGTGCATCAATGCAATTTGGATCCGTGAATTCGCAGGGCAGCGATCCATTTAAACTAACGTTACGCACACACACGCACACACACACACACACTTTGTTGTACAGGACTATCACCTGTGGAAATAGAAAGAAATTTACTGCAGACTGTGCCCAGTATTGGCTGTTCACATTCGCGTCACTAAAATCGTGATGTCTCAGAACCAGGAGTTTACGATAGCAAATGTTCGCGGAGCACTACGGCCGCACACACACTCTGGCTAGCATGATTCTATTTTCTTGCAAAGTTCAAAGTTTGCAATTTGGCGCCTCTTGCAAAAATCGCAGCTGTTTTCACGCCGCAAAGCATTACGAGGGCGAGGGAGCCCACTAAACGAACACCGGGTATGTAGGATGCATCACGCATGCTGTAAATCTGTAACCAGCTACATGTATGCTCTTCCGGATCCGGTTAAAAGAGGCCTGACTGTACTGCTTACACAGTACTGTAGTAGATGGTATATAGAAGCCTTGCTTGGTAGTTTTTAACATGTTTTCCAGTTTGACGGCATGTTACAAGGCGAGGACGTACAGTGCTCCTGACTACAGCCATAACCCGGTTGGCAGAGTTCCGGTCTTGCATACGGTTCAAACGGTCGCAAGACCGGGCCTCTGCCGACCGGGTTATGGTTGCAGTCAGGAGCACTATGCATCCTCGCCTTGTGACATGCTGTCGAAATCGAGTACAGTACATGTACATGTATGTCAGGCTCCACACAGCAAGCACTCAGGTGACATTCAGCATGAAGTGACAACTGTGACAATACAATCAAATCAAGAAATCGTGAAGACGGTGTGGGTATCTCAAGAGACTGAGTGACAAAAAAAAACAGCACAAACACACAGCAGCTCGCCGAGACGCTCGGAGCAGCTGCTGTAAGCGAGAGCGGAACAAAAAGTAAATATAGGATAGAGAAATTGGATAAATAGGAACTATTCATGTTTCTGTAAGAGTTTGCAGGCTGCGAGAGACAGCCAGGGAGAACAGAATTAGAAAAAACTGAGCAGGTCAAAATTCAAAAGGTCAAAAGGCAGTTAAAGAAAGTAATAAAGGATGGAAAAAATCTCTCATTGCATTCAGGCATTGCAGAAGTGAGCAATCGAAAAGCAGATGCTAGATATGTTGTTATTATTGTTTTTTCTTCTCTCGTGTCAGCCAGCGTGCAAAGCAGCTGGGCCACCACCAGCAGCAGCAGCAGCACGATGACCACCACTACCACTCCACTGTAAAAAGATGCCCGCGAATGTGTGTAGGGAATAGCGACACAGGAGCGTGGCACCCACACGGAAGACTCGTCGTGTGAAAATCGAAAAACCGCGAAGAGAACTGCAGAGTACTGTGATGCCATTTGAGAGCACTGCCGTACTCGGCACAATCAACAAGAAACCGATGCCAGGAACAAGGGATGAGGGCAAGGGACAGGGCAGCTAATGATGCTAACAAGCATGCACCACCCACCATCAGCATCATCATCATCAGTAGCAGCACCAAGCCGTGCTCCAAAACTGCGTAAGTCCCGACATACATCTGGAAATTTGGCCAACAAGCATCATAGCATTAGCAGCAGCAGTGATGACTGCCCTGGGATTAGCAGCTCGCCGCGGCGTCTTGCACGCACGTGGTGGCAGTCAAGACTCTCTTCACCGGCAGTGCGGCATTCAGTCGACAGACACCGCTTGTCTTGCAGCATTCAGTCGACAGACACCGCTAGTCTTGCAGCACCGGCGGGGTATCGGTTCCCAGCGTCGTCCGCAGAGTGGCAGAGCTGGGCGCTGACAGGATCGCCTGGCCGTCAATTGTGGTAGCAACAGTTGCCGAGCTGCTGCTCGCCTGCATCGCACCCTTGGGCAGCGAGAACATCGACGTGTCGTTGGCGGAGAGGAACGACGGAGAGCTGGACGATGAGGTGGCCGGGGAGCTATCGTAACTGGCCGCTTGATCGTCCTCACTGTCGCGGCACGCTCCTAACGTGTCCAGTGCCGACGAGGGCTTCACCGACAGCTTGTTTGTGAACTTCCAGCCGTGGGTGACCTCGTCCAGCGAGAGTCGCTTCATCGCCTCCTGTTTTCTAAACACGTACTCTCTCTGCACGTGACCGTCGCATGGGCACGCCGTGGAAGACACCAGTAAGAAGCCGCTTCTCTCCAGCAGCGTGAAATAGTCGGATTTCACCCGTTTCAGATCCACTTGATTCTTTTTCGTGGCTGTTGACTCAGACAATCCGAACTTCGAGAATAGATGCGAGGCGGCCAAGCCGTCCGCTGATCCGGTCAGCTCCATGTTGTCACCGTCCTGGATCAGGATGAGATAAGGCATGACAGAACTGTTCGCCGTCGTGCCCTGGTGCCGACTGGGCCTCGAGCTGGGGAATTGACATGACGCAGTCACGACGTCAGCGAAAGTGGCAGGGGTAGTCGTCTTGTGCAGGCTGCGAAGTCCGGCTTTGATCGATTCCTTGACAGATCGTCGGCCAATCGGGGAGCCCGCCGCCGACGTAGATGGGCTGTTCAACATCCGACCGACTGGTCCCTGGAGGTTCTCCACGAACTCCACAGCACTCAATTAAATTTTCACTTGTTCTACTTGAAGGTGAAGTGATCAAAAGCAAGGCTTTCACTTCGATTACGGCCCATGGGAAATGATTATTGTATCAAGATTGGCCTGTCAAACAAACGAACGTGTACCAAGAAATAATTGATCAGCTAATCAGAAGAACTATTATGCCGAGACATTTAGAAAGTTCTTTCCAGTCCGTGCAAGGAACATCGGCACGCGTGCACGAGTTTGAGTTTGACTCTACTGACTGACACAAGAGCTTGCAGCCTCTTTCTTTTTTCCTTTCTCTTTTTTCATGTAGCTCCCGGATCCCCCCCCCCACCAAATATTTTTTGATTCGGGGGATCCGGGAGGACCGGGACAGTAGATCCAGTAAATCCGTACCGGATACCGTGCATATGCAACCATGAACCTCGCGGGGACACGTGGCACGGCCGCGATCGCGCGCACGATCGTACGACAGTCTAACTACAAAAAAATTTGTACTCGTACTGTGTCACTAGAGAGTTTTCGCACGGCGTGCAAAGCGCTCATTTGACGCGTTCGAAGGTCACGTGCCACGTTCAGAAGCGAGGCAAACGCGCGTTGCCAACGTGGAAACCGGCCTCATCACGTTGGCACTTGATGGCCCAGCACGTGCGATTTACGCAAAGTTCTAATGGTTCACCATGTTCACCTGCTGCGAATTGCGCGAAAGCTCTTTTCAAGTGCGTCACGCACGTGAATAGCCTCGCGTTCGGCGTTGTCACGTTGCACGCCGTGCGAAAACTCTCTACTACTAGGAAAAGCCAATGGCGTCTTTGCTGGCATGGCAACGACTTGCGGCGCGCTCCTTGCTCGTTCATTTTTGCTGGTCACAGCATACGTCACGCCGTGAAGTCTGAGGCCTCGTTTACACGACAACGATTGAAAAACGTTTTTGTCAAAAACGTTTTCAAAAGAATACGCTTCCACAGATTTTGATAAGAGCGTTTACACGACAACGCTGAAAAACGTTTCAAAAACGTTTCAAACGAAAAACGGCCTTCAAAGTGTTTTTCAATCGTTTTCGTTCCGTTTCGTTCTCGTGTAAACGGCAAAAACGTTTTTCTAGTACGAGCCCTGTACTCAAAACATGCCACCGCCAGCCTGCGCCAGGCCAACTTCTTGCACGTGACCATTGCGCGCCGAAAAACGTGTTGCAGTGTACACGATTATCGTTTTCGTGTAAACAGCAAAAACGTTTCGAAAACGATTGAAAAACGTTTTTCAATCGTTGTCGTGTAAATGAGGCCTGAATGCAAGTCCAGCGCGAGCGACATTTGAAGTAAGTTGATTTGAAGAAGACGAACATTTCAGAAGATGTGACGGGTTTTGGTTTGCCATCATATTAGAGCAGACGTTTCGAGAACGTCGTTGTCGTTTCAACTCGAGAATAATTACAATGCCAGTAGTTTATTTTTGGAATGGAAGATACTAGTATTGAACCAGAAGCCCGTTGGTGTGTTCAGTCGTGACAGAAACACATTGGTTTTGTTTTGTTGATATTTTCGTCATAGAATTGTCTCATTTGAAAATGCCTAGTCGAGTGAACATCTCGCCGTATCGCAGCCCAGTGTTGAATCGCGTGCTTGCTCGCAGCGCTGGTAGCAGCATTCTGGCGTCATGCCTAGCCTGGGGACTGCTCAACTTAATCGTGGCCGTCTGCTTGGCTTTCGACGTGACTTACGGTGCATGGCTGACCCACGCTGCTGCTCAACACCTGGGCCCCGTGTTGCAAACAGCGGTGACGTGCGCCGAATACGTGCTCTGTGGCATCTGCTCGGTCAACGTTCTGGTGCATGCCTTCCGCTTCGGTAGCATACCCGTAGCGGATGTCACAATGACCACTGGTCCGAGCCAGCTGCTGAAGCAAGCCCCGGGCTCTGGTGCACTGGTGGCAGACTTGCACAGGGACGGTGCGAATGGCTGTCAACAGCAACAGCATGCCACAGCGGTGGTGAACATTGCCAGTCCGGGACTGCCCATTGCACCCATGGGCAATCTGGGTAGTGGATACATCAGCAGCACGCCCCGCGCCATGTCCTATCGCTCCGGCGGTGGCTGCAGCGGGGCCGGAGGTCGCACGCCGGACTCTCACGCATCGAACGGCGTTCGCAAGCGCCGCACCGTGTCCAGCTCGTCGTCGACGCCGTCGTCGTACCGCCTGCCGCTCGGCGGCGACGGCAGCATCGCCGACCTGCAGTCACTGACCGAGTATCTACACACAAGTCCGCTCAGCGTGGGCAGCGACAGCAGCTTTGAGTCGCTCAACATGTCCTCGGCGAATGGATCATCGCTATACGCATCGTCGGCTGCATACAGTGGTTTCAGTCCGGTACAGACATCGCCAGGCATGACGGCGGCACACCACGACATGACCACGCGAGACTTCTCGCCGCTGTCGGCACGCTATCAGGTAGCCAGCCGACCGCCGAGCTCCCAACACAGCAGTCCGGTGTCGCCGGCTCAGGACGGCGCCTGCCACCACAAGAAGTATCTCACCGACGTGTGGCTGGTGCAAGGCGTAGAGCGCGACATGCTCGACTTCTGGACGGAGAAGTGCCGACGCTGGCTGGCGCGCGCCATTGTGCAGCCACTAGCCGTCGAGATCGAGACCCTGAACAAATCGCTGAAGAACATCGGCTGCGTGCACCTGCAGCTTGGCCAGGCGGACAGCCACGCTGTGCAGAAGGTGGGCTTAGGCGATGCCATGCGCCAGCTACCCAACCTCTCGCTGGTGCTCAAGTACCTGGACCTGTGCAGCAACCAGGACTACCTGGTGTGGCGCGTCAAGGAGCTGGCGCGGGGCACCTGCCTGAGCTCATTCCGCTGGGACGGCGGCGGTCGTGTGGAGCGTGGCGACTGGGATTCGTCGCTGCCCACCGACGCGGCCATCGTCTTCCATCTGTTCTGCACGTACATGGACTCGTGTCTGCCGCCGAGCCCGCGCATTCCCGACCGCCGCACGTTCACCCTCCAGTACGTCAAACCTCTCTCCGCCGCCATCATTGCCAAGGAGACTCGCACCGGTGCACCCATGACAACGGCAGCGGCGACGAAATCCTCGACGTCCTCGCCGCCGCGCAAGTCCGGCGGCTGGCTGGGCTCCATGCTGTCGTCTCACCTCGCATCCACCTTGAAGTCGACGGCTGACCGTGACGGGGATTCGTCGTCGTCCGCCGCCAATCTCGCTCACCTCTCCGACAACCTGCACTTTGTGCAGAGCGGCGAGCGGCCGCCGCACTATCAGCTGGCGATCAACGGCAAGACGGTCGACGTGGGCGCCGGGCGCAACAACCTGTTCCACTCGATGCTCTACTTCCTGTACCACGTCAAGAATGTGGAGCGCGGCATGCTAGGGTCCGTCAACCTGCCGTTGGCTGGTTTGGACATACTCAGCGTGGTTGCAGATGTGTAGCGCTGCGCACTCAATCGTTAACGCCACCTCCACTGTTGCCGGTACGCAGATAGCAAGTTGCCGTGCGTTTGATTGCGTTCTCCGCAACCATCGGGTCAGCGTGGATATGGCACCGTGCTGTGATCGTCCAGCTTGTCATTGCCTCCGTACAGAGGTTGATCCTGTCCCCAAGGCCACAGACATGTACACCGTTGTTGTATCATCTTGGAGTGGGAGCACGACTTTTTAGCATTGTACCACTCCTCCATCAAGATGTTCGTTTACGGACGAGTCCGTGTCACAGTTGATGCGGCTTTGCGTAACTACATTCGTGCCTGCTTTCTAGCCCGTCCAGCCAGCCTGTGTTGCTATGTCCTCCGCCCTCCATGGCAGCGTTGCTGTGTTATTTATTATCATGTTCCGTTGTTCCATTGTGATATGTTAGGCTGTGCTGCGATTTTATAATTTTTTTAAAGAAGGCGGCTCAACGGAGCTCACGTTTCCGTCTGACTGCTAACTAGTCGGTGTGTGCTTTACCAGCTGAGCAGACCGAGACCGTGTTGGCCCACGATACTGACTGTGTTCGTCCGTCGGTGTGTGCGAGTGGGTGTGTGGGTGTGCGCATGCACTGCAGGCGTTGACGTGCACATAATATTGCGCCTGCGCGATGTGTCTATTCTCGCTGTCTGCGCTCGTGGTTGACTGTTGTACGTACGCACACGAGAGATCCCCCGAGTCGAGTGCTTGCCAGCTGTCAGTACGGTATAGCGCGAGTCTTGGCGCTGGAGCGATGACATCATTATGACATCACCACACTGTTTTATTGACCTTGCCACCAGGGACTCGCAGGCTGTAGTAGTACTGTACCACTCCCTGCTTGCCATATTCCATAACTGGACCACTGTTCCCACCGGAGCAGAGCTATATATTTTCTTGACTGTCATGTGTACGTGTTGTGTGGCTTGAGCGGATATTCCCCTGTTTTGTTTGCTCCGTAGCAAGTTCAAGTTTTTTTACACAAGTATAATTTTCCGTTCTGTGAGATGTGATCAGAATTGGATTTGTCTGGCTTATTCTGATGGTTTCGCCACAATGCTGTCGATCGCCAATCCTTGTTTGCGCTGCATAGTACTCGAACAGGTGTGTGTGTGTGTGTGTGTGTGTGTGTGTGTGTGTGTGTGTGGGTGTGGGTGTGTGTGTTGCTTTTGTAGATGTGAACTGTTTTCACCTGCAGCAGCACATGTGCATGTTTTCATTCTAAATGTTTTGCTTGGACAGGATGGCTGAGGCGGAGATTGCACAGATTCCAGCATGGTATGAAGCCTGGCGTTACGAATCTTATGTCCTCGTTCCTCGTTTGCTATCCCAATACGGGAGAATATGAAACAGACAGTGCATGCCACTGCGCCTGTGGGTACAAGTACAGTTGTGCTTTCTGAAATCCCAACCAAAAATGAAAATGCGAAGCTGGCGCCCTGGCCTGGCCAGCTGGCCCAGTTCCGATTACATCATTGTATTTGTACATGTGTACGTCCAGCCGCATTCGTGCCACTTCCAGGGCGTTAAGGGTCGTGCCTGTTGAGGGTGCCAGCTTTGCAACTCTGGGTCGGATTTCTGTGGCATGGGGCTGACTTTTTATTGTGGAAGCATTCATTGTTTGTGCGTGTGTTTGTGTGCATGTGTGTGTGTGTGTGCGCGCGCGCGTGTATGTGTGTGTGTGTGCAGCTCTGGGTCAGACTTACACAAGACTGGCAACTCTGGGTCGGATTTCTGTGGCATGGGGCTGACTTTTTATTGTGGAAGCATTCATTGTTTGTGTGTGTGTTTGTGTGCATGTGTGTGTGTGCGCGCGCGCGCGTGTATGTGTGTGTGTGTGCATGGTTGCAGCCCGCGCTCGTGCCCTGCAGCTCTGGGTCAGACTTACACAAGACTGGCGGCTGGAGTACACGTGGATGCACAGAGTCATGCATGCAGCAAGCACCTATAAGCTACACTGACCCAAGCTCAGCAGCCGGTTGTTTGTGCATGCGTTATTAGTCATGGTAAGAACAGCAGTCGTATGCTGGGTGTAACACATATGTACATACGTGGCAGGGGCGGATCCAGGATTTTTCCAAGGGGGGTTCAGTTTTCTTCCGCCCTTATAAAGGGCGAAAGAACGGGCTTTTTCCAAAAAGGGCCGAAAAGGGCGAAAGAAGGGCGGGCACCTTTGGGAAAGGGCTAGAGGATAGGCGCTCTGATGTCGAGCGCTCGAGCGCAGGTAGTGCTTCAGCCATTTCAAGGAAGTGTTGCTGCGCTCATTCTCCGCAGAGGTGACGGGTAGTGTTGAAGCAATCCGGAGGAGGACGTGGATGTTCGGGAAAACATCATCATCGCAATGCACAAGAGCTCGTGGGGTAGCTTGAAGTGCACCAGACTTCTCTGCTGCGTCCTTCCATTTCCTGACCCACTTTCGGATGTCAGTTGATATAGTTGAAGAGCTTGGCAGATCATCAGAGTACGTGTCGACCAAGCGTTGAATGTTGGCAAGTAGGCCTTTCCCATATCGGCCGGCCGAAAAATTCGCCCAAAGTAGCCTTTTCAGAATATCGCCGATCTTTTCGCCGAATTCTGAGATTTTACCAAGAAATCGCCGAATATACATGTACATGTACATGTAATAATAATAATGATATCTTTATTAGGATGACCCAGAGGCTTGTCGCCTATCAATACCTTATTCCTTGGACTTTTGCTGACTTGGCTCCTAGACTACAAGTACAAGGGGTTCACCGCTTTGAAGGGTGTACATGTATGAGCTAAAGTGAAAGTAGTACAATGTACATGTTTTGCAGGGTCGTGGGCAACTGGGCATGACCGCTCGTGTGCGCCTGCGTCACGGCCAGTGGGCATTTCCCAAATCGGCCGGCCGAAACATTGGCCGAAAATAGTGGTTTTGAAGAAATCACCGATCTTTTAGCCGAATACGCAATTTTCGCACTGAATTCGCCAAAAATTGATGTTTTAGTGCCTCAGTAGCATGCAAATACAATTTCTGTAATCATTGTCGTGTGGCTTGAGTTTTTTTTGCTCGTACTTGGGTGGATGCAAATTTGCGAGCTCCTGACCTTTACTCCTTTTTTCGGTTTCCCGGGGCACTAGGCCCTTGGAACACCAGTAAATAGTGATATAAATTATAATGGCCGGGAAACTCGACCCCAATACGGACATCGCCGTGCTTACTGATGACGAGCTCAAGGAGCTCATCCAGCGACTGGGACTGGAGTTCCCCAGAAAGGCGAACAGGCCAATGCTGATTGCCCTACTGAGAGGATCCAAGGACTCGGCTCCCGTAAGTCATGCTAACCCTGATGTAGCTAGCCTTTGCGCCGCACTCTCCGAACTTACCGGGGTAGTAAGGGAATTGAAATCAGAGCTAAAGACGATGAAAGATGTGAATGTACAGCTGAGAGATTCCGACAGGGAAATTCAGGCGTTGAAGGACGACGTGCAAAAGCTCCGACGTGAACTGCATGCTGAACAAGATCACCAATCCCGTTTGACCCACGTCCACGCTGACCCTGGGGATACAACTCATCTCAGAACTACTACAAGTAGTACTCTCCCCATGCACTTTAGTATGAGTACCGACGCTACCCCAGACCTGTCACACACATCACCACGTGCACCGGTACAAACACAAGGCCCAGCTGCACAGCTTGAAAATTCGTACGCAGACTCCGCAAGGCAGCCACCAAGGCCGCATGCACCTGGCCACGACAAACGTCCGCAAAAGCCAAACCACCGTAGGGAGGAGACATCGCGGTACACAGCACCGAAAACACCCAAGAGTGCACCTGGACTCGTAGGACGACCCCGTGTGACGGTGTACTACATTGGAAATGTTGACCCGGACTGCGATGCGGATTCAATAGCTGAACACTGCAAGGCACAAGGTGTATCTGTAGTACAAAGCGTCGTGTACACCTCCGTGCACTTTAGAACAGCCTCTGCTCGTATTACAGTCTTGGTCACGGACGCCAAGAAGGTCGCGGAAGAATCGTTCTGGCCTGACGAAGTTGGCCGTACTGTAAGAGAGTGGCGATTTGGTACAGAGGCCTGGGCCACCAAACCCGTTAAAGCATAATAATGGCTCACACCACCGACCCACTCCCCTTGAACCCGCATGCTCAACACACCAATCGGATCAGCAAGAAGCTTAATCTACACGCCGCTCCGTTTCACCCACACACCCACCACCTGACCCAGCACAGTAGTACACTTAACATTGGCCACATCAATATACGCAGTCTACGCCACAAACTGTGTGAAGTTGAAAGCATAATGATAGAACAGCAACTGGATATATTAGCCATATCCGAGACCTGGCTAGATAACAGTGTCTCTGACCTGGAAGTGCATATCCGTGGAACCATCCTTTACCGTAGAGATAGACCATGCATGACAAGCTGCTCGTGTCTCACAGCATGCGGCCCCTGCAAGAAAGGTGGCGGTGTGTGCCTTTATGTGAAAGAAACCCTCAGAGTTTCCCTGGACGAACGTTACTCACATGATGCCCTAGAGCTTCTTTGCATACGATGTACGCCACAAAGAGGATCCGAGACATTGATCGGCTGCATCTATCGCCCGCCAGGTCAGTCCATTGACTACTGGGACAGTCTTGCTGCAGCTGTAGACTGCGCCGATTGCGAAGAGCTGTACTTGTTGGGAGACCTCAATGTAAACTTCCTGGACAAGCAATCAAGTACCTATAAAGCCCTATACAACACCATCCTCCTGCCCCTTAATCTCTCCAACTTAGTAAACGCCCCTACACGCATTACACGGCAAACCCAAACCTCTATTGACTGCATTCTCACGAATTCGGAAGACGCCACAACCGCCTCAGTCTTTGACTGTGAATTCTCTGACCATCGCATTATCACAACCTCCGTGCCTATCACTTCCCTGCAGCCTGACACGCCAGACCACAAGCCAAGGCAGCCCAGTCGAGACTATAGTTCGTTCTGTATGCAGGAATTCCACAAGTTGCTGAAATCGGTATCCCTACACTCTTTTTCATCCACGAACCCCCACCAAATGGCCGCTGAGTGGGTGAAGAAGTTCAACTGTGCACTGGATGAACTCGCGCCAATTGTCTCACGAAGAGCGGGGAGGCCTACCTCGAAAGTAAGATGCCCTTTCATGACTGAGGAGCTACTGCACATGATACGACAACGCAAAAGTGCCTTCCGCCGATTAAAAGCCTCAGCTTTCCAAGATCCAGTTACTGCACTCCAATTCAGGCAACTGCGCACCCGATCCAACAACCTGTATCGCCAGCTCCGCAACAAATATTTTTCGGAGCTCTGTCAAGACTATGAACAATCTCCTCGGAAGTTCTGGTCGGCGATCAATGGCGTAACAAAACGTAAACCCGCTAAACCCAAAACCTCAGTCGAAGCAGAGACGCTGAATAGATATTTCCATTCAATCGTTCACGACCCCGATGCCTCCTACAACGTACCGCTCGGGCCGGTCTCCTCCACCGATTTGGAGTCGTTCGCATCTGTCACCATTGCGGAAGTAGAACTTCTTCTACTAGACCTGAAGCCGCGCAAAGCCCCGGGTCCAGACAATATACTGCCCTGTCTTGTGAAGTCTGCCGCTTACATTCTTGCCCCATCTCTAGCAATCCTGTTTAATGCCTCCTTTTCTTCTGGTATACTCCCGTCCACGTTCAAAGAAGCGAACATTTGCCCAGTGTTAAAGTCCCAACGCAGTGACAGATCAGACCCGTCCCAGTACCGACCCATATCCCTTAGTAGTGTCATTGCCAAAGCCCTGGAGAAAGTCGTTCTTAGACAGCTCCAGCAGCTATTTGACGACAAGTGCCCATACCATAAAGACCAGTATGGCTTCCGCCGCCATCACTCTACTGCCCAACTCGTCACCAAGGCCGTAAGCCAGTGGACTGCGAGCCGGGATACTGGACACACTACCATGATTGTGTTTTTAGACCTTAGTAAGGCATTCGATCGGGTGAACCACCAGTGCCTCCTCATTTCACTGCAAGCCAAGGGTATTGGAGGGACAGCACTAGCATGGTTCGCCTCATACCTGTATGATCGTCGGCAGAAAGTCACTCTGCCACATGCTACATCCAGAGTCCTCCCAGTTTCGCGTGGAGTCCCGCAAGGTACTGTTCTGGGTCCTGTACTCTTTAATGTCTATATAAGCCACCTCCCTACCATAGCGGATTCCTTCACCTGTTCCCTTCCCATGTTCGCAGATGATATGACCCTCTACCGAAGTGCCCCCTCACTCAAACTGTGTATTGCCTCCGTCATTCCCTGCTTGAATGTACTATGTGACGAGCTACAAAAGCTCCACATGATGATCAATGTTAAAAAGTCAGGTGTTATGATCATTTCCCCCGGCCGAAACCCCACGACGCACCCAAGTGTCATTAGCCTTCAAGGTGAGCCACTTAATTTTGTGACCGAAACTCGTCTCCTTGGTATCCAAGTTGACAACTGCCTGTCATGGACCAAGCATATCGATGTAATTGTTAGAAAAGTATCCCAGAAGGTGGGTGTCTTACGTCGCACCTTCCGGCAACTGAGCAAACTTGCACGCCGCCAGTACATCTTGTCTGTCGTTCTTCCTGACATTCTGTACTGCATCTGTTCCTTCGTCACACTCATTACTGCGAAGGATCACAGTCGTCTAGTAAGCGTGTACAATAGAGCTATCCGAGCGGCTTGTGGGGCTTCGAGCCGGGACAGTATTTCTGGTCTTCTGAAAAACCTTGATGTTAAGCCCCTGGACTACTATTTCCTGGTGTCAACTGGGAAGTTCATTTTCATTAATCATATTCTTCGCCCTTTGCCTGTATTTACATCGTTATTCCCAGCCCCGCAATCTACCCGGAGCACGCGTAATCGCGACACACATGATATCCCTTATTTAAAATGCAGAACAACACTCGGTCAAAAATCCTTTGTGCTTCGTGCTGCTCTTTTTTTTAATGCTCTACCTAATGACTTGAAATCCTCTTTGTTTACCTCTCAGTTCGATCGCGGTTTTAAGCGCTTATTGGATGATCCAGTTTGGTTTGAACGATATCGTGCAATTTTGTTTGACAACGTTGGCAACGTTTAGTCTCTCACCAGCTACATGTATGTATTGCCCAGGTTCATTCAGCATACGTTTTTCTTCTTTTCTCTTTATGTTCACCACTCATCCCCCCCTTTTTTTTTTCTAAACATTTGAACATTTACACTGATGTATGAACATATACACTGATGTATATACATTGTTTATTTTTTTATTTTATTTTTTTTATATATATATTTTTTGGTCCCATCGGCCTCTTCATATTTGTGCAGCTGCACTGTTGAGCTTCCGATGTAAAACAAAATAATAATAATAATAATTGTCTGCGAAAGGTGGCTGCGACTTTAGAGCCGAATTTCCACCTTTTACAGAAATTTTCAGCCGATTCTGGCGATTTTTTCAGCCGATCGAATAGCCGAATAGGCCAAAATAAATGGCCGATTTGGGAAAGGCCTATTGGCAAGGTGTTCGTCTGAGGATCATATCAATGTATCAATGTAACATCTGCATGATTCAGCTCGGGTTATATATGCGCTACGGCAGGATCCTAGGAGCAATTCGCATGCCTGGCTTTTGTAAAAAAAAAAAAAAAAAAAAAACTGCACCATGGTCGGAAAAAATTTAGGGGGTTCGTTCGAACCCCCCGAACCCCCCCCCCCCCCTGGATCCGCCCCTGCGTGGTCACATGACGTCATCGAGTTGCGATTGGACTCGACTATACCGGGGATGCGGAGTATGGTACTATGTCTCACAGTCGCTATTCCTCTCTGTCTTTATATCTGTATCAGACTTCAGTGTCTGCTCCAGAGCCGGGTCAGCGACCCGTTTGTGTGTGTGTGTGGGGGGGGGGGGGGTGGGGGTGGTACTTGGACCTGTTTGGAAAAAGAACACTGGGTCACCTGTGTCCCGTTTGGGAATACATAATGCTACATATACTTCAGGGAGTCGTAAAATATTTACGGCCAGGCTCCCTGATGTACATGCAGTAGCCGCACTTGAACGACCCGGCTCTGACCCGGCTCTGACCTGGCTCTGACCCGGCTCTGACCCGGCTCTGACCCGGCTCTGACCCGGTTGGAATTTTAAAGAGTTGTTTGTGGCAGGTGCACGTGAACCCGGTTGGTTTGAAATCCTAGAGCAGACACTGTCTGTATGTCTGTCTGTCTGTTTTTCTGTCTGTGTCTGTCTGCCTCCTGCGCCACACCGTTACATCACATGCAGCAGCTACAAACTACAGTACCTGAGCGTTGACTATCCCAACCCTTCGAGCAAACAACGTTAGGTCCAGAAGGGGTTTGGATAAGGGAACTGTTTGGATAATAGGAGAGTCATATTATACGCGTGCTGTATAGGACTATAGCTGTATTATAGAAAAAATCATGAGAACATACATAAACCTGTACGACAGTCAGACCTCGCTGATCCGGTCCTCTTTTTACCGGATCCCTAGCCATCCGGAAGAAAATAGCTGGTTACAGATTTACAGCATACGTGGCGCATCCAACATAATCGATGTTCGGTTATCCTGTTCTCTCGCCTATCCGGATAATTTTTTGGTGGAAAACAAATGTGTGCAGTAAAAAGCGAGGTCCAGCTGTAGAACAATATACAGTCAGACCTCGCTTATCCGGTCCTCTTTTATCCGGATACCTCACCATCCGGAAGAAAATCATTGGTTACCCATTTACAGCATATGGCATGCATACATACAGTTTGTGTGTTCGATTATCCGGTTCCCTCGCCTATCCGGACATTTTTGTGGAAAACGGATGTGTGCGGTTATGCGAGGTCTGACTGTACCATGCCTTGACGGGCATGCAAGCAGCGTCCCACCCTTCCGGATACAGCCATCGCTCTTCAATCCAGCACTTTATGGATCGGGATGTAAGCCAGCATAATTTTCGGTGACCAAAATGCCCTCTTCACGCACATTGCATCTGTATATCTTATTTTGTTAATAATAATCCAGCACCGTCCCTAGCTAAGCCAACAGAATTTCCATAGCACAAACGGTGCCGGATTATTATAACGGGATCACCGTAAAAGATTATGTGGACAGTCAATGTCCAGATACAGTAAAACCTGTCAAGGCGACCACTCGGATAAGGCGACCACCTGTCCTGGAAGACCACCGCAACCAGGACCAAGGGAAGCTATTTCCAGTCTAATGACAATGGATAAAGAGACCACCTGGTATCAGAGACCACATTGTGAAGGTCCCTTGAGCGGTCGTCTTAGACAGGTTTCACTGTAGATGATCGATGATCTACTGTACCAGACCTGAGCCTCTGCACCGCAACAAACAGAGTGTAAAGTACTCTAATTTCAGAAATTTTCGGTGCTCCATGTTTTCGGTATTTATAGAGCAAACAGCTAGGTTAGGTGAACAGAAATTTTCGGTACAGAGAAGCAGTTCCCTATTGGATTTTGTGTGTTAGCGTTTGTTCGGTGTATTGAAATTTTAGGTATGAAACAGACGCACTGAAAGTACCGAAAATAAAAGTACACCAAAAACTTGTGTGAAATTACAGTATAGTCATGCCATTGCTGTGGTAAGTTAACCGCATCAAGTTCCCCAAAAGGGAAAGGTCAGAAAGCGGCAAGAATTCACCGGACAAACTCTCGCCGTGTATCAAGCAGTGCTGGCGGTGACTGAACAGCACAGGCTAAGCCAAAAGTGTTGCCTAGCACTGCGCTAGTGTACAGTCTGTATAAGATTGCCTACAATCGATGTTTGAATACGATAGTGAATAACGTGTTGCTGCCCAGGCTGTGCAGAATTGTACTGCCGCATGCCTATACGGCTTTAAGCGTAGCAAGCGTTAACGGTCAGTACAGCAGGCTGGTGCCAGCCAGCTGGTGTAGAAAGAGCGGTCGAGGAGGAAAAGCGAGCAGAGCCCAACAACTGTTATGTCTCTGACGTCATATTCTCTTATCATGATATTATGTATGGAACGCGCATGTGTTGAGGAGAGAGAGGGTATGATGGACGTGGATGATGGACGTCTTTCCGGATAATAGATAATTATTGGAACTGATAACTACTGTGTGCTCTGTAACGTCGAGTGTGTTGTTAGTCTGGCAGCTAGTAGGGCGAAGACATAACAACAATGCTCTCAGTTGCCGGCAATGCTTGTGCACAGCGGCGTGAGCAGTGCACGTTGACCATTGCCACGACATCCAGCGCAGCCTTACAATAATAATAATTATTAAGTTAACCGCTATGATGGACGATGGAAAATCTGTGCAGGACCGAATTTTAACTGCTATCTTTAAAATAGTGAAATGATACTATTGGATACGTTCGTTGTGAGCGTCGGCGTAGGCTCAGAAGTGACAATGGTTGGTATGAGTCTATTGCTAGTTGAAGAATTCATCTATCGTGCCGACACAGCGGTGGCCTAGTAACGACAACCTTCTAAGTAGAACTATTCGACTACAAATGACGCCGTTAGCTACTCTAATCAGAAGTTGAACTGCCTACAATTATTGTTAATCTCAACGAGTACGTTATCAATCTGTTGCAGCCCGGTGATCCATAGAGTTCACCCGGATGGAGTTCCAGTTCCCCGTATTTCTGTTACTGAACGAATGGCTTAGCCCAGTCATGTGTTACATGATCATGTCAGCTAGCTGCTGTGAAATGTAGTGTGTACATGTGTACGGGATCGGCAAGGGACTCAGGATCCGCCACTCAGTAGTGACCCAACCAATGCTGGGATTGGAGAAAGGGATGGATGGGGGGGGGGGGGGGGAGGAGGAAGGGGACACTCACTTGCGACGATGCCGGGCTGTTTGTGTTTACTGCTCACTGGGCGTGATTGCACTGAACGACATTCCTCATCATGTCACACCCTCACCTGCACTGGAGCTAATTCGTCAAGTTACTAGCCAAACACGGGCGCATGCTTGCCGCTAACGCACGCGTGCACGCCAATCTCGCACGCACGCCTCAGATGAGCAGTTCGTCGGTCTTCTGCTCCTTGATGTGCTCAATCTCGGTGATGATGTCCTCGCGGGACATGCGCCGCTGGCCGGTGGTCGACCCGGCGGAGAACGTTGACATTCTATGACTGTTCTCGGCCGTGCTGGTGAACGCGCCCGTGTTGGTGAGCGTCGTGCCGTCCGCGTCGTTGATCGGCACGCGGTTTGGCGAGTACTTGCGGAAGTGGCGACTGCGGTACCTGGCCAGCAGGATCACGATCAGCACGATGAGCAGTACGCCGAGAATCACGCCGATCACGATGCCGGCGATTGCGCCGCCGCTCAAGCCCGTGTCTGCCTGGCTGTCAGTGGTACGGTTAGCCTGGGTTGTAGCCATGGTTGGCCTAGGCTGTGTAGTCACCGGGAGCCTAGTCGTCGGTCTCTGCTGCTGCTGTGTCGTGCTCTGCTGTTGTGGCTGGCTAGTGTCCATGGCTTGGCTGCTGATCGGGGTAGGGTTAGACTGTGGGGTTGCTGATGCCTGTGCTGAGCTGGCTTGGGTGGTTCCCATTGTCAATGCTGCTGTTGTTGCAGCTGCTGTAGTAGCTGCTTGAGTTGTTCCTGCTGCTGTTGTTGCTGCTGCTGCTGCTGTCGTTGCTGCTTGAGTTGTTGCCGCTGCTGTTGTTGCTGCTGCTGCTGCTGTTGTTGCTGCTGCTGTTGTTGCTGCTGCTTGGGTTGTTCCCAGTTCTGTTGTTGCAGCGGCTGTAGTAGCTGCTTGAGTTGTTGCTGCTGCTGTTGTTGCTGCTGCTGCCGTCGTTGCTGCTTGAGTTGTTGCTGCTGCTGTTGTTGCTGCTGCTGTTGTTGCTGCTGCTGTTGTTGCTGCTGCTGTTGTTGCTGCTGCTTGGGTTGTTACAGCTGCCGTTGTTCCTACTGCTGTCGTTGCTGCTGCTGCTGTCGTTGCTGCTGCTGTTGTTCCTGCTGCTGTCGTTGCTGCTGCTGTGGTTCCTGCTGCTGTCGTTGCTGCTTGAGTTGTTCCTGCCGCTGTTGTTCCTGCTGCTGTTGTTGCTGCTGCTGCTGTTGTTGCTGCTTCTTGGGTTGTTACAGCTGCCGTTGTTCCTGCTGCTGTCGTTGCTGCTGTTGTTCCTGCTGCTGTCGTTGCTGCTTGAGTTGTTCCTGCTGCTGTCGTTGCTGCTGCTGTGGTTCCTGCTGCTGTCGTTGCTGCTTGAGTTGTTCCTGCGGCTGTTGTTCCTGCTGCTGTTGTTGCTGCTGCCGCTGTTGTTGCTGCTGCCTGGGTTGTTACAGCTGCCGTTGTTCCTGCTGCTGTCGTTGCTGCTGCTGTTGTTCCTGCTGCTGTCGTTGCTGCTTGAGTTGTTCCTGCCGCTGTTGTTCCTGCTGCTGTTGTGGCTGCTGGGGTTGTTGCAGCTGCTGTCGTTGCTGGTTGGGTTGTTGCAGCTGCTGTTGTTGCTGCTTGAGTTGATCCTGGTGCTGTTGTTCCTGCTGGTGTTGTTGCAGCTTGAGTTGTTCCTGCTGCCGTCGTTGCTGCTTGAGATGTTGCAGCTTCTGTAGTCGCAGCGGCTGTTGTGGCTGCTTGAGTTGTTCCTGCTGCTGTTGTGGCGGCTTGGGTCGTTCCTGCTGCTGTTGTTCCTGCTGCTGTTGTGGCTGCTTGAGTTGTTGCAGCTCCTGTAGTAACTAATGGGGTTGTTCCTACTGCTGTTGATGCTGCTTGGGTCGTTACAGCTGCTTGAGTTGTTGGCGCTTCTGTCGATGAAGGTTGCTCTGATCCAATTGTAGTGTTGTCTGTGTCTTCACCGGTAGTGTTTGTAGTGTTTGTTGTTGGGGCTTGGGATGTTGGGACTTGGGTTGCTGGCGCTTGGGTTGTTAGGGCTTGGGTTGTTACCATTGTGGTGTTGTCAACATCTCCATCCGTAGCATTTGTTGTTGGGGCTTGGGTTGTTGCAATTGTGGTGTTGTCAACATCTCCATCGGTAGTATTTGTTGTTGGGGCTCGGGTTGTTGCCATTGTGGTGTTGTCAACATCTCCATCCGTAGCATTTGTTGTTGGAGCTTGGGTTATTGGAGCTTGGGTTGTTGGGGCTTGGGTTGTTGGGGCTTGAAATGTTGAGGCTTGAAATGTTGGGGCTTGGGTTGTTGCCATTGTGGTGTTGTCAACATCTCCATCGGTAGTATTTGTTGTTGGGGCTTGGGTTGTTGCAATTGTGGTGTTGTTAATATCTCCATCCGTAGTATTTGTTGTTGGGGCTTGGGTTGTTGCCATTGTATTGTTGTCAACATCTCCATCCGTAGCATTTGTTGTTGGAGCTTGGGTTGTTGGAGCTTGGGTTGTTGGGGCTTGGGTTGTTGGGGCTTGAAATGTTGGGGCTTGAAATGTTGGGGCTTGGGTTGTTGCCATTGTGGTGTTGTCAACATCTCCATCGGTAGTATTTGTTGTTGGGGCTTGGGTTGTTGCAATTGTGGTGTTGTTAATATCTCCATCCGTAGTATTTGTTGTTGGAGCTTGGGTTGTTGCCATTGTATTGTTGTCAACATCTCCATCCGTAGCATTTGTTGTTGGAGCTTGGGTTGTTGGAGCTTGGGTTGTTGGGGCTTGGGTTGTTGGGGCTTGAAATGTTGGGGCTTGAAATGTTGGGGCTTGGGTTGTTGCCATTGTGGTGTTGTCAACATCTCCATCGGTAGTATTTGTTGTTGGGGCTTGGGTTGTTGCAATTGTGGTGTTGTTAATATCTCCATCCGTAGTATTTGTTGTTGGAGCTTGGGTTGTTGCCATTGTATTGTTGTCAACATCTCCATCCGTAGCATTTGTTGTTGGAGCTTGGGTTGTTGGAGCTTGGGTTGTTGGGGCTTGGGTTGTTGGGGCTTGAAATGTCGGGGCTTGGGTTGTTGCCATTGTGGTGTTGTCAACATCTTCATCGGTAGTATTTGTTGTTGCGGCTTGGGTTGTTGCAATTGTGGTGTTGTTAATATCTCCATCCGTAGTATTTGTTGTTGGAGCTTGGGTTGTTGCCATTGTATTGTTGTCAACATCTCCATCCGTAGCATTTGTTGTTGGAGCTTGGGTTGTTGGAGCTTGGGTTGTTGGGGCTTGGGTTGTTGGGGCTTGAAATGTTGGGGCTTGAAATGTTGGGGCTTGGGTTGTTGCCATTGTGGTGTTGTCAACATCTCCATCCGTAGTATTTATTGTTGGGGCTTGGGTTGTTGCCATTGTGGTGTTGTCAATATCTCCATCGGTAGTATTTGTTGTTGGGACCTCCGTTGTCAGGGCTTGCGTTGTTGGATTTTGCATGGCTGGAGGAGCCGTTGCGTTGTCCGTGCCAGCATCCATGGCGGTCATTGTGCTCTGCGCCTTCGCTTGGTGACACACTGTGCAAGCAGAGAACATGAAATAGGAAACATTTGCTGCATCAGAGCTGGTTACAGAGAATAAGTAATCTCAAAGCACATGCCCTTTTATGTTTGAGGCACTGGTTTTCCTTCATGGACAGCCTCCACGTTTGGTATGTAGTGTTCACGAGGTGTTTGTCGCGCTGGACACGGAGTGTCTCCGTAAGTTTGTATCCCTGGTGATGTTTGTGCCTGGAGAGCACTATATAAGTGGTGCTCTTCAGGCACAACCTTCCTCAGCCTACTCAAGCTCAACTGATGAGGGGTGAATTGCCCGAAACACTGTGTATTGAGCAGGGAGTGGTGCTTTCTTGCAGGTTTGCCGAGTCGAAGGTTCGATGGACTTCTCGTGTTCTCTGGATGGCAGTCGTGAGTCAGTCAAGTGTCAAGTCGTCGGCGGAATAGCGCGAGCTCCAGTGTGGGAGAAAACCCGTTCCTAACCAAAATCATCGCCAAAGTCGCAACTTCTAGTTCGTAGTGTACTTAGTCGATAGCTGTATGACTGCATCACTAAGCACTGTACGCTTTCTATGAGACTACCCCGATAAGCATCCATTTGCTTTGGGTGATGCCCCCCCCCCCCCTTGGTACAGTAGGCAGTTTATGCACTATTGACGGTAGTTTGCACACGGCGAGAGCCGGAATTCAGTTTAGTCGACATCGGCAAGTTTCACCCGGACACAATCTGTAGTGTATGGTGCTTGTCACAGCCTTGTCTCTCTCTCTCTCTCTCTCTCTCTCTCTCTCTCTCTCTCTCTCTCTCTCTCTCTCTCTCTCTCTCTCTCTCTCTCTCTCTCTCTTCCTCTCTCTCTCTCTCTCTCTCTCTCTCTCTCTCTCTCTCTCTCTCTCTCCCTCTCTCCCTCTCTCCCTCTCTCCCTCTCTCCCTCTCTCCCTCTCTCCCTCTCTCCCTCTCTCTCTCTTTCTCTCTCTCTCTCTCTCTCTCTCTCTCTCTCTCTCTCTCTCTCTCTCTCTCTCTCTCTCTCTCTCTCTCTCTCTCTCTCTCTCTCTCTCTCTCTCTCTCTCTCTCTCTCTCTCTCTCTCTCTCTCTCCTCTCTCTCTCTCTCTCTCTCTCTCTCTCTCTCTCTCTCTCTCTCTCTCTCTCTCTCTCTCTCTGCATTGTCTCTCTCCGTATTGTCTCTCTCCGTATTGTCTCTCTCCGCATTGTCTCTCTCCGCATTGTCTCTCTCCGCATAATCTCTCTCCGTATTACCTCTCTCATCTCTATTACAATGCACATGTTCTGTAGATAGTATCATACAATCACTCCATGTCTTGTCCCGCAATGTACTCCTGCGTTTGCTTGCAGGCCCAACATAATACGATAGGGAGGTCTCGCTCTACGGAATTACGTATGAAAATAGCGTAGGAACTGCACGTAATTTTCATACGTAAAAATCAGAGCTGTTGGGTTTCGCTCTACGTGATTTCTCCACGACTGCTCAACATGCCTTGTTGCTTGGAGACGCGTTGGCTGCATGTGTCCACTGCATGCACAACGAATCGAAACCGCGTTTCCATTTTATTTTGCACGTGGTGTACGGTGTGTGTACCTTGCGTTTCGCGCGGCTTGAATGTTGCCATGGATAAATCCGGAAAATGCGAAAAATATTTCAAAAAGTCCAACGTAGGAAAGTGCTTTCCTACGGAAATCCATAGAGAGATTTACGTATGATAGTTGCCCTCGCTCCCCGGCGCGTATGACATATGTTTTTCATACGTAATTACGTAGAGCGAAACCTCCCTAATCTTCCTACGCAACAATGTCACGGGCAGCAAACCTGTGATGGAGAACACACAGAGAAGTCAACCATCACGTTGGCAAATGGGTTTGAAGAGGTTCCAGCGGGAATTTTGAATGAAAATTCTCGTGAAGATGCACCCTGACCTGATGATGCCTCTGACCCCCCAAAAACACAGCTTTTCTCATCATGGTTCACGTGACACTCCTGTAGAGGCCGAGTTCTTCGCATCCACAGGAATGCCACCACCTTTCAAGGATCAAGGCGCAGATGCAGCTCCTACATTATAATTTTTTAAATAAATAAAAAAAGTCAGAGGTTCAGGTGTTTGCATCTCAACTCTGCAGTGTGTGCGTGTGTGTACTCACGTAGACTAGATGAGACAAGCGCTGCTATCGCAAGACAGAGTAGGGTGGTCCACGCTGATGCTCCACCACCGAATGCTCTGCTGCTGTACTGCCGGTGGGTATGTCCTGTGCGTGCGCTACTCTTCTTAGCACCTGGGAACGAATACACACATGTGCATACACACACACACCACACATGAACACACGCGTTCACGCACATGCACACACACGTCCATACAGTGAAACCAGCAAAGACGACCACCGAGTCTGGGACCGAAAGTCCGATCCTCATGCACAAGCGGTACCCTTATCCAGGGTTATGTACAAAGAAATGATCTCTTCTGATCCAGGTTACACCAGTCCTCTCAGACAGGCAGGTACCTCACCACAGTGGGCCCTGTCCGCTTACATACTACCGTATGTCCAGAGAGTGCGTTGCGCCCCCATCAGAGTGAGCCCTGTCTGCGTATGTATGACCAAGAGTAGATAAACAAGAATGTCCAACTCCACAACTCTTCTGCATACAATCTGCACATACCCGGCCCAAGGGGCGGAATTTTTTGCTGAAGTCACATTTGTCAGAAAACACAACGTGTGTCGTATAGAGCACGCGGATTTTGCCGCAGAGCCGTGCGAGAGCACCGACCTTGTAATGTAAAGCCCGACCAAGTGCACAAGGCAAAACTTCCCAAAAAGACTCGCAGCCCGTGCGTCATACGGTATGACTCATGATTTCCAGAAAAGACGACGCCGACGAAAAATTCCGCCGCGGGCCACAACCATCTCGAGTTGCTCACTCTTGTTGGCCTACTCTTGGTATTCACTGCATGCCCAGAGAGTGTGTTGTGCACTTATCAGATTGGTCCCTGTTCTGCTGTGTGGTACTAGGGGCAAGAAGCCCGCCGCCACCCCCCCCCCCCCCGCGGCGTTATCATATTCATGAGGTTGGTTTGTCTGGCCAGGATGCACTGCACTGCAGTTGGCAAGAGCAGGAGGACTGGTGCAGTGGTGGAGTACGTCATGTACAGCTCTGCACACTGGAGTCCTATGGTGTGAGCCACTACTGAGTTTGCGACCTGCACCAGTGCACATCCCAATGTTCGCAAGTAAAAGGCCGGCCAGCGCCGCTCGGCGTGGCATTGAATCACTCGATCGGATTTCATGTGCATGGAAACATCAAAGAAGAAATTAAACCAACAGAGAAAAATACTAGATCCATCGGATTTCATTGACTGCAGCACTGTGCAATTTACAGGTACTGCAGTCGATGTTCAGGCAAGGCGCCAGGGCAAAACATCGCCCTGACAAAGCACTGAGTCTGCGTACGGTTTATGTCGGCCACCGCACCATTGGCGCAGCCACTACACTCAGGTTAGTACTACTGCACTAGCTCTTAGCACAGAATTCGTTCCCATATCATCGTGGCAACAGGAAGGATTCGAACAAAGTCTCCTCTGGTTTGGTGATTATTTGCTCAGTCTTTGACATAATCATTGAGCGCTCTCTGCAGCTCGGGGATCAACAGATTTGTTTGATCACATGTATTTCAGGACTATGAAAAGTCTGATAGCAGCGTGCAACACAAACACGGCTAAAACAGCCACACAAACAACAACAACAACAACAACAACAACAACAACAAACACTCGTCCCACACAAACACTCGTCCCACACTAATACTCGTCCCACACTAATACTCGTCCCACACTAATACTCGTCCCACACTAATACTCGTCCCACACAAACACTCGTCCCACACTAACCGACCGTGACTATCATTATCTTCTTACCGGGTCTGCGGTACGACGAAGGCATGGCAGTAGCCGGTAGCGAGTGTCCGGCGCAAGATTCACTTGAGCGTGGAGGCTGCATGGCGCTTGGTTGTCCTCGACGGGCCTCTGCTTGACCGAGTATTGTTTGAGTTTTCTTCGCGACGGAAGGAACCTTCACTGCGGCTATTCGTCGTATTGGGTAAACGCGCACACGATCTCGGCTTGACGAATGCAGAGCGTGGTCGCCGGCCGAGAACAACAAGCTGAAGAAGTACAATCTCCGTCCACTTAGAAAAGGCGAGGTAAAAGGCAAGGTGGGGGCTATGGCGTCGGCCGAATGCTCCGGGTACTCCACGTACAGAGTATTCTCTGCGGCAGAGAGTCGTGCCAAGGGGCTGATCTCACTTCGTATGCCAGAAACCCGATCCAATGTGACGGCTAGGCAGCGATGGTGGCATACACACCTGGCAAGGACAGCGATGCTAGTACCAGGTACGCTAACTTCGTCGATCGTTTACCTGTACTACCAATTGACTTCGCGTTGTCTTCCCTCGACGAATGACTCCGTCCCATTCGACGAAGGTCTCTTTCAAATTTCAAAATTTCTGCCACCAGCACCACTCGGCAAAGCCGTGTTCAAAGGAAAGTGACTGTTGCGTAGAGGTCTACCCGTCGTCAGCTCGTGTCCATATATGCGAATATGCACTCTCTCGGGCGGTGTGTGCTATCTCAGTTTGCCCAGTTCTGAGGAGTTTGAGCAGCCCGTAGACAGGCGAGCCGTCACGTAGAAGACTGGTGGACTTCCCCACACTTCACTCCACAGGCCAGGGTCTCTACACATTCGTACCGATCGTGTCTGTCACTACGCAAGGCTGGGCTGGGTCACACGAAGTGAGTTTTGAACGACTCGTCTGGCGCGCTATGCAGAAGAAGCGAGCGAGCGCCCCTTGACTTGTATATCCAGATGAGGTCAAGCGATAACACTGAAAATGGCCGCGACTGTGGCAGCCATGATCGTGCCTGAGAGTGCCTGAAAGTTCCAAAGTATTCCTCCCTGGAGTCCGCGATGAACATCTGTCCGTCATAGACCAGACTGCTTGACAAGCATACGAAACTCGTTGAATTGAGAGTGTTTCGACCCAGTGATTTGTGTAACCTTCGTCCTTTGCACTTGAGGTTGCATGTCTTGTAGTGTACGGCGTCGCGACCGGTTGGGTTGACCGTTACACAATCAGAGAGATAGATGTGGCCAACATGGCGTCTGTCACGTGCAGTAGACAGCAGTCATATCGGACATGATGTACATGTACACAGTCAGTGTCTGTACACGTAGTGCACGCCAGTGCGGCAGTGGACTTGAATGCGACGGGCCCACTAGTACTAGTGAGCAGTGCAGTGGCCATTCGAGGCGTCAGCCATTACAACGGATACTCCTTCATTCCAGTCTGCGATAAAGGCGGGTTACAGGTGTACGTGTACAGGTATGACTGTACAGTCCCTAGTAGCGGTCAGTGTGTCCGATGCTACCCGTACCGGTATACCCATGTCAGTGCAGATCTACCACATTCCCACACGAGTTAGTGATACGTATACATAGTGTAGGCCTGGGGTGGGGACCAAACAATAAGAGGACAGAGAAAGTGTTTAAAACACTTTCTCTCTCCTCCTATTGTTTGAACCAGCTCTACCTCTCGGTATTGAGCACTCTCTTGGACAGCCTGGAACCTCTCTGTGTAATAGGCCTGGGGTCCAGTGGGGACCTGTTGACAGTCTGCAGTGCCTGCACTAAAACGAGCACTAAAAGGGAGGTTTCCGAAAACGAGCAACAAGGAGCAGCACTAAATCCAGAAAATGATCACTAAATGGGCACTGCAATCAGTCATGGACTCTCTAGCACCATAATATGATCGGGCACTGTTTTGGGGAGGTGTGTAACTGTTAGGGAAACATTGTATATTCAATGGCTGCTCTGCCCACCTCAAAGAACATTAACTATCCAGGCCTGGAAATCGACTTGTATGACCGTGTACATCTATTTCCCAGGGCTGGGTAGTCGTCGACTAGTCGATTTCAAGTTGTTTGCTCGCATGCGCGTGCATGTGTGTGCATGTGTGTTTGTTTGTGTGCATCAGTTCACGTTCTTACCATTGAGTGCAACACGAGTCGTTCGACCCAATAGTCCAATTTAAGTGCATGGTGAAATAGAAGAAGAAATCACGTGGAAACGAGTTCTGAAGCAACTATCCACGACTGTAACAAGACAATAGGGCTTGAAAGTGATGACGTCAAAACGGCCAGGGAGTAGTAAGTTGACATCAGATTTCTATTTTTGGATCCACTAAGGTGTGACTTTGCTATTGCCTAAGTATGTGGGTGCATAGCAACCCACTCATGTCGCATGCAGGTGTGACTTTTATTTCGCCACCAGTTGTAACCCCGCCCCCAGTAGCCAAATCAGTCAGTTTCACTGGTTACATCACCTTGCTGAGAGTAAGACGGCTTGAAATGTGCTTGGATCCATACAAAAACTGGATCAAGGTGGATCCAATTTTTGAATTTTTGAAATTGTTGCTATGCTGTGACGTAGCACTTTCAAGCCCTATAAGCAGTCAGAAAGTGGGATAACAGGGCACACAACTGACAGGCTACTGAGACATTCAGCGACCTGAGAGGCTGAGACCCAGCTCTAACACATCTCCAGTGCGCAACTCGTTTCCCTAAAAGGGGAAGTTAAGGCAAAAATTAAAATTTCACCAGTTGTAGTCTTCGGGGTGCTGAGTCGAATGGTCTTGGTCCGAGAAAGCTGAGACGCTCCCTTCCTACTTGAATCCCAATCGGACTCGCGCACTTCCACCGAAACTGGGTGACTGCGCCCTACTAGATGGGGATTTGTATGCAAAATGTCACTAAAAGCGCCATTTCGTTCTTATAAAAGCACGTATGACCGCGATTGGCCCATATGTTGTAGTCTTTTGGATGCTGAGTCGACTGGTTTTGGTCCGAAAAGGCTGCAATGCAGCGTTCCTCCTTTACAGTCAACTTCGCTAATAACGACTGCGGATATAACGACAATTCGCGAATAACGACCGAATTTCCATGCCCAGAGCAAAGTCCCATCTGACTGTATACATTTAACTTCGGATATAACGACTATCTGAATAACGACAATTCGCGTATAGCGACATGCTTTTAGTGCCCCGTGGTCATACTCACTGCTTGAATAACGACTTTCTGGGCTTTTGACAGCTATTTCAAGTACCTGTCAGTCAAGTACATGTACCTGTCATGCAGAGGTACCAGAACCTATGGACTATGGTGCACTAGTGATGGATATTATTGCACACATGCAAGAAAATGCAGCCAAGGGGGGGGGGGGGGGGCGGGGGGCGGGGGGCTTTTTCTTCCTTTTTTATGTTGGCTTCAAAATTGTTGGATTTACCGGCACACCTATTATGTATACAATGTACATGTAGTTGTACATGATTGCACAGTAATCATCATACATGTACATGTCTCTGGCCCTGTAGATGGCTCAAAAAGGCATATTTTTCAATTTATTTCCCTTGCATATTGAATTTTTAGTTCCTTTCAACTGCAATATGAAAATAAAGTACACATTGACATAGAGCAAGAAAAGAGCTTGGTTTCGATATGCATATCATACTATACAAAATATGGGTTCACATACATTCAAATGGGACTTCGGTTATAAGGACACTTCGCGAATAAGGACACTTTTCTGATGCCCCGCCGAATGTCGTTATTGGCGAAGTTGACTGTATTCCCAATCGAACATGGTTGAACAAGTGGTCACGTGCTCCTGGGTGCCCAAATCACCTGGTCACCTGGTCACCACGCCAGCAGGCGACAACTTTCACACCAAGGTTCAACTCGAGTGACAGGACTGCACCCAAAAAGGTCAAACAGGCTAGTAGTAGTAGTAAGTAAGTAACGTTGTACCCTGCAGGCACGGTGACCAGGTGACTGGTGTACGCAGGAGCACGTGACCACTTGTTCGACCATGTTCGATTGGGAATAAAGGAGGAACGCTGCATCGCAGCCTTTTCGGACCAAAACCAGTCGACTCAGCGTCCAAAAGACTACAACATATGGGCCAATCGCGGTCATCCGTGCTTTTATAAGAACGAAATGGCGCTTTTAGTGACATTTTGCATACAAATCCCCATCTAGTAGGGCGCAGTCACCCAGTTTCGGTGGAAGTGCGCGAGTTCGATTGGGATTCAAGCAGGAAGGGAGCGTCTCAGCTTTCTCGGACCAAGACCATTCGACTCAGCACCCCGAAGGCTACAACTGGTGAAATTTTAATTTTTGCCTTAACTTCCTCTTTAATACCACCAAGAGTACACCATGACCTTTTCTTGATACTACTCATCTGCACCGTTTTAGCACCCAACCCTCTCATTTGTTGCCTGCAACAGAGGTTGCATCGCGTAACTTTGAGGGTTTGAGGGTCAAAACGAGGGTTAGTATTACGTCATCCAAGTCAAGTAAGACATTGCCTTTTTCAGTCCAAACACTCGTATACTTCCAAATACCGGTATATACATGTACATATACAAGGCCTCTGAGGTGGGAGAGTCTGTGCTGCAAATGTCACTTCAGGCTCACCGAATGGCCCACCGGTGCACCGCCAGGGTGAACCAGTAAACCAGTAGGCATTCTTATTAGGTAACGATTTCTTGTGAAGCTTTTGCGTTCAATTTTAGATTTCAATTGAGTGTTCTATTGATTTCCGAAATTGGGTTGTCTTTTTGCAGTTTGACTCTTACTTCATGGTGTTGTGAATAAAACCGTTCTCAAGTAAAACAGTACTTGCAACTGTTAGCCGAGGGGCATGTACCGTAACAAGATATAAGAGATCATCGCCTACAAGAGAATATTTATGTACACTTCACACGTATCTATATTTCTTGTACTTCTCTGCTGCTGCTTTGGTCATAACTTATTGGATTTTTGGCTGTTAGGTGTTGCATAAACTCGCTAGAGCCCTCGGCGTTCAGAACAATACAAGGATGGAATAGCTGAACTAGTGAATTCGCCGGAAAACCCTGGGTGCACGCATTATCGATAGGTACTTTTCTCCATGATTACTCTCCTGTTGGTACTTGGTTTTGATACATGTACATGTGTGGGAATCTTCGGAAAGCATGCAGATTCCTCACATCCAACACCACACGACACAGCAAGCCAGGGGCACCAGAATTACATGGATAAACTGAAGTTCAGAGAGAAAAAACGACAACCGTCTTCTAACCGCCAAGGGAAGAGAAGCACTTCTTGTCGAAGGGAGAATACATAAAAAGGGAGAAGAAAGCCACACATGGGTACGCGGCATAGGAAAGTACAACATTATCGTACCACGCAATACGGTGCGTGAGAACACCGCGCGCGGGCACGCAGAATCGGCAGAAACTAGAGTAGAGTGATTATGGATATACGGGACCAAAAAGTAAGGAAGGGTCAAGAGTACAAGTTGCGATTTAGACAAATTTGACGGAAATCTCCATGGGGTTTGGAGTGGATACACTACACATGTAGCTGTGATAGCGCTTAGCACAGCCCCATGTCAAACTACAATGAAAGCTGACATGTTGGAACGAATCAGACAACATTGAGTACTCTTG